GCGCGCGTTTGCGCTTTGTGCCTTTTCTTCGCGCATTTTGAGGGTTAGCGTCCGCATCCAAGAATGCCACCTCTGGTCGCTTTGCCACCGCAATGCTACACTAATGTTGTCTAACCTCATCAACGGCATAATAGCTGTTGCCGGAGGCCACTCAACCACAGACGTACGCGCACTTTTCTTTGGTCGCCTTCCCAGTGCCTTGCCTTGGGCCCTGCCCCTTCACTTTGCACATGTGACGAAACACTGCCGCTTCTCCCAGCTGACACCATGCTGCTACAGGCAAACGATGCCCCCGCCCACTCGCCGACTCTCGACCTGCCTCCACTTCCCTTGTCTAGGGACTCACCACCCACCTCAAGATCCACCCCCGCTGTCATAGACCTCTCTTCGCCCACAAAGCCCCCAAGAAAATCCCAGCGCGACGAGCAACGGTCTGAGAAATCTCTCCCACGGTCATCAAAACGTGCTATAAGCGAGGACGAGAGGCGTCTGGTTGGTGATTACAAGTAAATTACCACGACCACTGTGAATAGTAAGAGGGAAAATGCTAATAGTCGATCAGAAATCCAGCAGATGCGGTTTCTATACCCGACCCGTCGACCTGGATGCCGGATTCGCGAACCATGCACAACAAGGTATGTCTGTAAGCATCTATGATTGTGAACCTCAACACTGACATCTTGAAGCCGGGCGCGAACAAGGGATACAGGCCAGTCGATACAATCAACGGCATAGCTCACGCAACAATTCGGAAGCCTACAACGTACGGGAAACATGCCCGTTCCCGTCCCGTGTTAATAGGCCAGTCGCCAGGTCCGGGTCAGACAGCCTACTCCGAGTTCCAACGAAGCAAGGCACCTATCACACCAAGTCGACATGGATTGTCACGAGGGGAAGAGGATAAACGGTCTGGCGGGCCTTCATCCGCAAAGCGCAGGAAGATTGAGCATGTTATAAACCTAGACGATGACGAAGACGATGAAGCCATGGTGGTAACGCGGTCTGAAGCGTCTACCCCTCGCAGACTATCTGATGAAAGATCAGTCTCGGCCATGTCATCGCAATCACGTCTCAGTATTGGGAGTGGGAGCACCAGAGCTGAATTCAAGATGCACCGAGCCGCAAACGAGTTCCGAGAAGTCGAGGGTCTCATTAATCCTGGAAAAAAGCCCAGAGAAGCAAATTGCAACAAGCGCCAAGCTCGCGGGAATAACTCCCCTGTCCGCCGTGGCACCCTCTCTGATGAGGCCCACCAGTTCATTTTACGGGGTCTTAAGCCAGGCGACCCTCCCCGTAAATCCGTAGAGCGACCAATCACTTCTGAACATTTCCCTAAAGCTCGAATCAACGAATCAACTACAGAGCAGCCAGTTACCAGCCGCTCCGTCGCTAGCAACAGCGACAATCTCCGTACTCAACATCGACCAGTACCTAAGCAATTGGACCAAATGGAAGATAGCGACAGCGCCGATGAGCTTGCCATTTCACCCATTGCTACCAGGAAGCAGACACTGTCACCATCAAAAGTAAAGAAGGCCGTGCAAAGTGGTGCCAAACGAAATGGACACGGTAAAACCGGTAGTGATTCTTGGCCGTTGTCATTCGCAAGGTCATATGACTTTGACGGGGCCAGCTCCAAAATGGAGGATAGGCATGCTACTCTGGTTCTGCGAAGCGACCCGAAAGGCTTGCGCGTCCAGAAGTACAGCACAGAGGGCTATGAGACAGTAATCTTAATCCATTCTCAAGAAGTTAATAAGGTCCATGCAGACGAAATAAGCCGTGTTCGCCTAGAGGGACCCAGAAATGCTCATGGCAACATCCCCATATTTGATCTTGAGTTTCTCAACTCAAATGACTTTCTGGCATTCTGCAATTCACATGCAGCGTCTCTGACAACGAGTGGCAAGATTCTTTGGAAAGAAAAGTAAGAGTGAACATGGAGTCACCATCAGCCACCTACTGACGTTGTTGCAGTGAACACATGCGCCGACTGTTTACCACGCCTCTCCGAGCAAGGAATGATAAAGTAGCAATGTCTGAAGTATCAGATAACGCTGTCAAAGACTCGAAGAACCATGATACGCATTCCGAGCAGGTGGAGAAGCCACGAGAGCGGCGCCAAGAAAGGGGGGTCGAGGACAGATCCACCGTTAACACTACGAAAACAGCCACAGCACTGGCTCGTTCATCACGCTCACGACCATTGGCGTCCACACGTCTTGCAAGGGATAGTCCTGATATTGTCGAGGTGCCAAAATACTCGATTGACAAAGGACTAGGACGACCCTGGACCAAGTAAGTACCGAAATTCAATGGCATGATTTCGCTAATCACATAAAGGTCTCTTGAGTATGGGGAAGGTCGTCAGCGTGCTATAGTGCACTTTGATGACCTGCCTCGCCTGGACGAAGAAGAGTACTTGAATGACAGTCTGATAAACTTCTACATGATGTGCGTGCATTGAAGTCTCAGCTCATGCGACTGCTAACAACAAGAAGCTATCTCTTCAAGAAGCTCAACGTACCTGCTGACAAGGTCTATTTCTTCAACACCTACTTCTTCACCCGACTCACAGAAAATGCTGGCCGCAAGTCGATGAATTACAAAGCTGTTGAGCGCTGGACGTCCAAGATTGACATCTTCACCTACGACTATATCGTTGTACCCATCAATGAATCACAGTATGTCAAACTCATCTACTTTGCAGAACATACTGACCTCTCATAGGTCTCATTGGTACTTGGCGATCATATGCAACGTCTCAAACATCCAGCGCAAACCTGTGCTCGAAGATTTCGATGACCCACATCTTCGCATACAAGAAGCAACCGAATTACCTATCGTATCAGCTACAGCAAGCGACGAGGAAGAGCGCAAGAAGTTGCAGCAGGTGTCAAATCCAAACTCACCAACGAAAGTCGAAGAAATACAGAGCCAACAACACGAAGATCCCAACCTTTTCGATGAGGCGACAATATCCCTAGTTAACCGTGATGACCCTGGATCACGAGTTCAATCCCGAACCGGGGCTGCCGAATCCAATGCACTAACTCTGGAGTCGGAAACTGAAAATATGGAGACAGTGCAGACGGCTAGTGATGTAGAAGTCACATCCCGAGGAAAGCTGGTGCAATCAAGTCTATCATTTGCTAAGAACAAGAACAAACGCAAGGTTGTCCCTAAGAGAGATCCTACTCAACCAGTAGTTGTCGTTCTCGACTCTCTTGGGGGGATTGCCCGTAGTGGGGCAGTCCGCACCCTCAAAGACTGGATAGCAGCAGAAGGCAAAAGCAAGCGGGGCATGGAAGCAGTCATCAAAGAGAACGGCTACTACCCGAAAGGCTCTCAGATTCCCATGCAGAACAACTGGACCGACTGTGGTGTTTATTTGCTTGGTTACATCGAGAAGTTTTTCCAGAATCCGGACGAGTTCATGCACAAGCTATTGACGGGAACCATGTCGGCTGAGGAAGACTGGCCAGAGCTCAATCCTTCAGTTATGAGGCACAAAATGCGAGAAATCATATTCGAGTGCCATAAGCAACAAGAGGAGGCAAGGGCGGCACAGAAAAAGGCAAGGAAGGAGTCGACGCAGTCGAAGGTTTCGCCTGATCCAACAACGAAACAGACGCCCCAGGGAACCTCTTGTGAAAGATCGCCGGGTTCAAGGACGGAGGCCAAAAGTGATAAGCATGCTACTGGTGGAGATGACCTACCGCGAGCTAAACCGTCCGTTACTTTACCTCTTCCGAGACTCGCTTCGCCTTTTGAACCTAACAAGGACAGCTCAGCCTCAGTCAAACACTCGTTGCAGGGAGGTGCGGCTAAAGATCCAGATTCACCCCCAACAACCAAGTCTCCAGCCAAACCGGGGTTGGCCAACCATTCCAGCGTGCCACCAAGACGCCATAGTCCTGAGGTCCGCATAAACAGCAGGACTGTTCAGTCACATAAGTCAACCGACGACACGCATAGCAGTCCCGACAGACTTACTGGCCAGACTGGACATATTGATCAAATGGACCAAGAATCCCGCTCATTCAGCCTTAGCAAGCGCCAAAGACATGACAACCACGACCATCCAACGGGCTTACCAAATGCCAAAAGACCACAGATGGATCCATCATTGAGGGGAAAGAGGGATGGAAATTCTGGAACCAAGGCACAGTCCCCACGTAGTCGTGAGGGTAGCGCGCCGGATGTTCCTATTGAAATCAAGGATTCGCAAGAGGCGGAGGTTGCAGGTCCGGGGCTGCGTCCTCCTTTGCAGCCTCGTGTCGGCACACGTCACATGCCGTCACAACCACCGAGACCGATACAGATGCTTCAACCCTCACCTTCCTTTGAGGAAATTCCCCAGCTACCGCCGCGCAGCAAGATTGTCGAGCCCGGGAAACAGGACGCATTAACTGGTAGCCAGGTCGATGATGATTATGAAAGAGACCATGCTCGTCGATCCATAGCACCAGGCCCAAGCCAGCCCAGCCAAAACTTGCAACGAAGCGAAGAGGGGACTGAGGACCCTGTGGAAGCGATTTCACAATCCACCGACCAAATGCAGCTTGATGGGACTCAAGATAGCATAGTGCGAGAAACACCTGAACCAGCGAGAAGTCCCGCCACCACATAAGACAAGACAATCTAGGTCGGTTTACCAATTATTTAACGGAACGATACCAGTACGGCTTTCGGGCACCTCTGTAGCATTTCTTCCCATTCAGTTTTGCGTCTTGTTCTTTCTAGCATTTTTTCCTTCCTATTTCTTAGCATGGCGATGGCGTTGCTTGCTACAGATACCAAAAACCGGCGGGGGAGGGGACCCCTATTCTGCACTTTTCCTTTCCTTTTCTATTACACATATGCCAGTTCGACCGACAGACGATATCACCAGAGGAGGGGCTGTGTATTCTGGCAATGCAATGCAAAAGCAGAAGAAAAAAGCCCAATCCACAGATGAGGAAACAGGAGGGAGGGAGGGATGTGCTAAGATGTACTAATAACGGACTCTGGTTTTTATTTATACTGCACTCTCGAGTATCTTGCTGCTTGCCCTGCTGCTTTCTTGATTCAACTGCCGTGTTATATCGCCATTTGCGCCGCGGCCCCCAGTTGGATCGCCCTGTGCTGCTGCTACTGCATTGTCGACATCTGCGCGCATTCGTTAGCATACACACCCTTTCCCCTTTCCTTCTGACGACGATAATTTTTTTCTAAAAAAAAATATCTCACCTTCAAGTTCCACCCCACCAACCCACCTCCCCATCTTCTCCCTCACAAACTCTGTAAAATCCCACTCGTCATCCTCCAATCTATGCTCGCCTGCAACCCAAATATACGTTTCCGCCTCTACTTCCTCGTCGCCCTCGACATTATCCTCCTCTTTCTGGGCCAAATCGCCCATGCCCTCGTCCTTCACTTCGCGACTCGTAGAGGGAAGAAGAACCCTGACCCCGACCTTCCGCCTCACATACTCACTCCCCTCAAACACATCGAGGCGCCAGATATCGCCGTCGGTGAGACCTTGCACGAGGGTTCCTCGTACCGAAGCGGCAGTGCTGACCGGCACGACGCCCGGGTAATCCGCACCGCGTACTTTGCGGCGCTGGTGCGCGTGCAGGATTGCGGGTTGGATTTTCAGGAGGGAGGCGTGGGCGGGGGTCGGAGGGCTGGGTGAGCCCCAGATTACGCGGTGGAGGACCGGAGGCGCCATTAGGGTGCCGTAGAAGAAGGCTGTGTGGGACATTTTCTTCTTGGCTTTTTTTTTGGGGGGGAAAAGAAAAATCTTGGTGTGCAATTGTTCTTTTTGGAGAGGGAAAGTGAAGAGGCAGGTTATGTACGTGGGCTGGGGGGGAGGGTTTGTTTGTCTTTTTTGTATTTGGGAGGATGGATNGGGGGGGGAAAGGATTTGGGGTATATGGGATATGAGGCGGATTAGGGCGATAAGATACGAGGGAGTTTATCGGGTTATCGTGCTGCGCGTGTTCAGCCCTATGGGTGGATTGGGCTGGGGGACCGGAGTTTGGGTGGAGATTTTTGGTCCGCGGTACTAACTTGCTAGTTTACATGGTGCATTTCCCTCCTTTTTCTTTCTCTCTTCCCTATATTATCCCGCGCGGCTGGGCTTGTTTTTTTTGGCAGCAACGGTTACAACGCTAAACGGTTTACGACGGTCACGTGCTTGTTGTTTTTATTGTTTTTATTGTCTTAAGGGATCCCATTTGAAGGATTCTGTTAAACGAAGGAGGAAAAAGAAGACGGCGTGAAGAAGAGTGGGTACAATATAAACAAAGGGAGGGGATTCCGACACCTGCCACAACCGTTCCGAACAATACCGCCTCGTCCTCCGCCCGCACACCCCCGACCGACCGCCCTCGACGAGCGAACCAACACAAGTATGTTCTTCATCAGCGCAATAGTAAAGAACATAGCGCCCATCTTGTACGCGGCCCGCACCCCTCTACCTCCCACGTCCATAATCTAACGCTTCCGTGCTTTTTTCCCCCCGTTCCAGCATAGCAACCAGCCCCATCACCAGTTATGGCGACCAAATCTACTCGATGCACCGCGCGCGCAGCTCCGCCGGCTTCTCCCTCGACATCCCCCTCATCATGCTCGTCGCCAGCATCCTAAAAGTCTACTACTGGTTCGGCGCCCACTTCAGCACCTCGCTGCTCATCCAGGCCCTCCTCATGATATGCGTCCACCTCCTCCTACTCCACGTCGCGCTCACAAATCGGCCCCCGCCCTCGCACCTGCCGTTCCAGCACAACGATGTGTCGAGTCGCCCCTACGACTTTTGGCAGTGGAGGGCGCCCCGCCCGTACTGGGCGTTTATCACGTATTTTGCGGGGAGCCTGCTGGTCTTGCACTTGCTTATGAGCTCGACGGCCGTGTTTGGGCCGTATACGGATTTGCTGGGCGGCATTGCGTTGACGATCGAGGCGACGCTGCCGCTACCCCAGATTCTGGCAAATTGGCAGCGGCGTGGGTGCAAGGGGTTCCGCCCGAGTGTTATTGTGAATTGGGTGATCGGTGATACGTTTAAGATGTGGTTCTTTTTTGCGAGTAGCAGTGGAGAAGTGCCCTGGGCGTTCAAGGCGTGCGGTATCTTCCAGGCGTGCTGCGATTTGGGGCTTGCGGCGCAGTATTTGGTTTGGGGAGATGGCCCGGCTGGGGTTGAGGGGCTGGGCAGGGAGAAGGAACTGAGGAGTCCGGTTCCGGGGGATGTGGATTGGAGTATAGAGAAGTTGGGGCAGGCGAGTGTCACCGGGGGGATTGAGATGAGTGATGCGCAGGCGTGGGAGAGACCTAGGGCTGGGTAGGGGACAGGAGGATTGGAATACAATTGGAGGAAATGCAGGGGGTTGAGACGAATGATATACGTGGACATCAGGCATGTCGAGCAACGTTGGATTTGAATAACAAGTTTAGAATTGATAGTACACTGTGAATATTGTACACTTGAATAGCAAGACATTATCAGGAGAAAGTGCTACTACTCTTTTATATGTCTACAGTGACTGACTGAACAAGCACGTCACTAAAGACCCTTTATCGGGAGCCAAGTGCCTGCAGTCCGCAAATTCTCTGACTAGCCAGGCTATATACAAGAAGATGTAAAATGCGGTAAAGGGGGTAGTAAGTGGAGGCGTGAAGTTGGAAAAGAGGATGAGACTATTCGCCGGGACATTGAGCTTGTAAATTCATGATGTATATACATTCAAATTCATTCAACTACATGATCAAAACAGAATACTATTTACTAGAAAGGGTAAAAAAACCGCACTCTTCACTCCTCCACCTCACCCCCCTCAACGTTCTCACGCAGGCACAGGCTCCGGCTCCACACTGGTAAGGGTAGGTACGACCGGCTTGATGAATCCCGCATCATCGAAGTAAACCCTATCGATGGTCGTTTCCCTGTGCGTTCCATCGCCGTTGGGAATAGCAAAGCGGTGGTATGCAATGTACCAGTCATCGGTACCAGGCACGTTGAGAATAGAATTGTGACCAGTAGCAAGGATACCCAGTGTAGTGTTCTTCTGCAGAATAACACCTCGGTACGTCCAAGGACCGTGGACGCTCGTCGATGTTGCGTAGCCGACACGGTAGTTCTCTGAGCCGGTGTCGTCGATGGAGTAGGTGAGGTGGAAGAGACCCTTGCGGTAGTTGATGAAGATGCCCTCGCGGAAGTCGGTGAGGCCGCTGATGGCGCGGGTGGTGCCATTCTTGAGGGAGATCATGTCGTCGGCGAGCTCGGCGTAGAGGGCTGGTGTGCCGTTGCCCCAGAAGATGTAGTACTTTCCGGTGGTTGGGTCGCGGAATGCGGCTGGGTCGATTGCCTGGCCGGTCTTGAGGGTGCCGTCGTTTAGGATCATGGCTTTGGGCTGGGCGGTGAATGGGCCTTCGGGGGAGTTTGCAACGGCGACGCCAATGGTTTTGCGGTCGTACGTGGGGTTTTGGCCGCTGAAGTAGAAGTAATACTTGCCACCCCTTTCAATGATGGTTGGAGCCCAGGCGTTGCCTGTTGCCCATGGTACGTTTCCGCTTGTGCCATTGAGGGTTAGGAAAGGCTTCTCTGATCGAGCCCATGAAACAAGATCTGGAGACTTCCAGGCGTAGAAGACATTACCGCCCCAGCCTGGGAAGCCGTCGGTTGTGACATAGAGATAGTAGTTCTTGCCAAAGACTGCGATGTTCGGGTCGGCATAAAGGCCTGGGAGAACAGGGCTTCCTGCTCTGGCACTCAAGCGGGAGCGGCTGCGAGGAGCAAGCGAATCGGAGCGGCTTGCAAGTCCCGATCGTAGGTTGGCAAGTTCACTGGCAGTGACTGGGATGACGGTTCCGTGGCGCGGGCTGCGTGGAAGACTGTAGGAGCTAGAGACCTTCCAGCTTGGCTTAGAGATGTCTGCAGTCTCGAGAGGAATATAGCCACGGCCCGTGTATTCATCCACGAATAGGTAGAACTTCTTGCCGTTGACGTCATTGTCGTTAGCCTTGAAGACAGTCGGTCCTTCAACGGCGCTGGTGCCGGCGTTGCGGCCAATGCATGCAGCAACTTGAGTCCATCCGCTCACAGGAGCAAGGAACGATGTTGATCGTTCTTGGATGATATCTTGACAGTTGGTGCCTGTACCTCCCTCGTCCTTGGTAAACCGGTAGTAGGTATTTCCCTCCTTGATAACGGTTGTGTCGATACGCGAAAGTCCAGCGTCTTGCCATACCTGAGGTTGGCTGAACGTGACAAAGTCTCGCGTGGTGACATACATCATCCGGTGGTAGGTACTTCCAGTACGGTTGGTGTCGCTTGGCTCGTAGAGCGAAGAAGCCCAGAAAACTACGTATGAGCCAATGCTGGCATCATAGTAGGCTTCAGGTGCCCATGTGTTTCCAGCAGTGGATGGAGAGACTTTGACGTGGCGCTGGGCTGACCAGGTCTTAAGGTCCTTCGATTCCCAGATCTCAAGGTAGAGACTGCCAAACTTGACTGCATCTCCCCATGAGGTACCGGATCCGATCGAAAGATCGGTGGCGAGCAAGAAAAACTTGTCACCCTCGTTTGATCGAATGACAAAAGGGTCACGCAGGCCCTTTGTACCTAGAGTAGAAGCCAGAACCGGCTGTCCGCCGTTCAACTCGTTCCACCTCAAAGCATTGTTGCCTTGACTGGCTGCCATGTAGATCTTCTCGCCAGCAATCGAGTTACCCGTGAAGTATGCAAAGGCGTAGCCCTCGAAAGGGGCGAGGGCTGCTGCTTTGCGGACATTGGCGTTGAACGTGCGGTTAGAAATGATTCCGTCGTGGTCAATGATTGCCGTAAGATCAACTGTCGTTTCCGCATCCTGTCGTTTCACGATACCATCCGCTGAGATAATTGATGGATGGCTGCTTGCCCAGGTGACCTTGAAGTCTCCAGATGTGTCTGGTAGGTGAAGATTGCCGCTTACATCCTCAATGTTCGTAACTGTGAGACTGTCAAGCGCCTGATCAATGTGTCGGCGCGATACGGCAGCATTCACAGTAGATGCCGACCACAGACCCCATGCGTATAGGGGAAAATTGTGAGTACGCATGGTCGGTTACAAGGTAGTGAGAAAGACACAAAACTGTTCCTGAACTGCTCCAGAACTGTTCACCTACTTCCATAATATACTTGATCCACCGGGTGGGATTTATCCCGAACAGGAACATGTCAGGTACACACATACCTGAATTCAGACACAATGTGACCTCATATGTTCGACCGGGGTGTAGAATATCCACGAATGCGCAGCAGTTAGTAAGATGGTTACAGCAGGTCGTAACTTGAGTAGAAGAAACCTAGAGAACATCATTCCCTTGAACAGCTAGATTGATCGGAGTGTAACCCGTATTGGTCAAGGCCACGGATAATCTCATGTACAAAATTCGGCCAGTCAGGGAACGAACGAATAATGACGCCGCACCCGAGGTCACACTCCAACCATTTTGCGGGGTGCAGCGCATAAAAGGTGGCTTGGCGACTCGGGAAAATGATGACCGAAGCTAACACATGACAACATTACTCTTCGATTCAGCCTCGTATTTCCATAAATGCTAACTTTCAGTGTAAATGGAAAGTTCGATGCTTTAACATTCTGATGACCTTAGTTAGTTCGGCATTACTTACGCGGCCGTGGGAGTGTCATGTGACATAACCACATGTATGTATGTGTAGATGGTGAGATGTGCAACCGTATCAGCATCTAACTTGGAGGCCACCGTCTTTATATGTATATACAAAGATATCGGGTCTCGGCTTATTAGTTCAACTGGTTAAGTACTTCAGAAGTACTGGTTATCGATGCCAAGGCAACACTCCTTGAAGACTAGGTTATCAGGCGGAGGAACGACGGAGATCCCTTACTCCATGGAGAAGGAGAAGACTGGCAAACATGTGAACTAAATGGAGATAGCCTATGGGAGTCTCACGTGGTCCGTACCTTGTGTAATTGTAGTGTTTTGTTGTAAGGATGTTCCTACTACCCAAGTACTTGGCAATACGAGCGAAAAGACGTCGGTGGCTGGGCATGCATGCCGAGACTAATTTTGGGCCCCAACGTGACCATACTCGCGAATCTGAGTGGCTAACGTTCTGCAGAATATCCGGTCTACAACTTTGGACTACATGAGAAATTTCTACGCTCCTCGATGCTAACCGCTAGGTTGAGACTCATGCTACTAGAAAACGGTTAAAAAGGATGTGAGAGATCAGAAAAGAAGGCAGATGCCCTTGGAATTTAGCTTCAAGAGCTCTTAGATTTGATCTGTCCATTTTTGCTACTCAGTGCATAGACGTATGTGTTCCACTGACTACATTCCGACGGCCCACTACTATCTGCTGTAGTATGCATGTCCAAGACCTGTGGCACCGCCGTTGAGACGGCTCAAATGCTTGTCGTGGGTACTCGATGTATTTGCCTCTCCCGGGAATGCCGTGATAGGTAATTGTTGAAAACTCTGAGAACTATAAGACCTTTTCAACATGTCAAACATGCATATCACAGCTCAGGCTCTTGACTCCTTAGGCAAATACCTTCAAGTCTTCAGCCGGCCACTCTCATTTTCAAAATGCGCACCTCCACAGCGCTAGCAGCCGTTGCTTTGACACAATCTACATTCGCAGCGATTGAGCCGAGGAATTTTATTTTCATCGTCCCCGATGGCATGGGCCCGGCCTCTCAGACCCTTGTCAGGACGTATTTGTCCATGATCAACGGTGATTCAACCACCCGAGCACCAAGAATCAAGTCACTTCCTCTTGATGTCACTGTCATTGGAAACACCCACACACACTCTTCCAACAACCTCGTGACAGATTCCGCCGCTGCCGGCACTGCTCTTGCAACTGGTCATAAGACTAACAATGGATTGATTGGACTTTTGCCTGACGGCAAACCAGTAGGATCCGTCATGGAAGCTGCAAAACTGGCTGGTTACACCACTGGTCTTGTTGTGACTTCGCCCATCAGTCATGCAACTCCTGCATGTAGGTTACTGCCCATACTCCATTTCTTAATCACCACTAAATGCTTGCAGCCTTCTTCTCCCACGCAGCAAGCCGTAATTCTCTAAATCAGATTGCGGAGCAGCTAGTCGGATATAGCCACCCCCTCAACATCAGCGTGGACTTGATGCTCGGCGGCGGACGCTGCGATTTCCAGCCTCAAAACGAAACCGGTTCCTGCAGGACCGACAACATCGACCTATTTTCCTATGCCAAGTCACAGGGTTACTACACAGCCCGCGACCGTGCTGGATTCGATGCTCTCGAGCTTGGTCTCGGGAACATCCAACTCCCCTATGTCGGCCTCTTCAAGGGCGGGGACCTCAGCTACGAGGTCGATCGCCAGCAACAAGCCGCAGAAGTACAGGAGCCATCGCTATCCGAGATGACAAAGGCGGCGCTCAACTCGCTCTCGCGCGGCAGCGAATCCAACGAAAAAGGTTATTTCCTAATGATCGAAGCATCGCGTATCGATCACTCATCCCACGCCCACGATTCTGTTGCGCATCTCCACGACGTACTAGAGTTCAACCGCGTGACCGATATCGTTACGAAGTGGATCGACGAGCACCCTGACACTGCCTTCCTCGCTGTTGCAGACCACGAGACTGGTGGTATTACCCTCCCGTCCGGACACAACCCTCAAGTTCTCCAACCAGGAAAGCACTCGGTTGAGTACCTGAGTGAACAGTGGAGCAAGTACAGTGGCACCGATGCAGCTGGTTTCCTCGCTAAGGAGATAATTCCTGCTTACGGCATCACCAATGTTTCGGATGCGGAGATTCAGACGCTGATTGCTAGTGAGAACTTTGCGCAGGAGTTGGCGGACCTGCTGAATGCGAGGGCGGGACTTGAGTGGTCGACTGGTGGTCACACAGGCGTTGATACAACACTGTACGGTTACGCTGTTGGTGAGATGGGTGATCGACTTGTCTTGGATATGTCTGGAGGCTGGGATAACACTGATATGCCCAAGTATGTTGCGAATGCGCTGGGTGTAGATATGGATGAGGTCACCGAGCTGTTGAACGCCCAAGGGAGAGCGTGGGTACCAGTGGATGCGCCACAGAGTTAAATGTGAGTCTATGTGCTGTTTTTAGACAAAATATCGTTGTATTCTAGTTTTTTTAACATGAAGATGAACTTGATAAGCTTACGTTCTTGATCTAAAAGTCACCAGTGACTGGCCTTGCTAAAATTCTGCTTTGTCTAGCTTTCCTCCACCAAACCGTATTACAACTTCTCAGTAGCGTGGCCAAAAAGTGCTTTTAAGCTAGCCACACCCGAGATCTTAGGGACAGAAATATCGAGTCTGGAGTTCTGCTTCCGCCAGATATGGAACTCTTATGCTGAAATCGAGCCCAATCCCAATCCAGCAAACTCTGGATCGGTAGGCAATTATCCTTCGTCCTCTGGCAAGACACACAAGAGACATTTTGCAAATCTTCGCACAAAAACGCTCATAGTTTCTATAGTCTTCAAGATAGCTGAAACAGCATGTGAATTGGCGATTCATGAATTGAAGTGATTGGCTGAGCTGCTAAGTTCGACCATAAGGGCTGACTTTCGAAAAAACCAAGCTTTGCATAAGGTCCGAGGCTCCGTGACGGTAGCGCTATTAGTGTCCAGGCCCCAGAGACCATCAAAAATTTCTCGAAAAGGGTGAGAAAAAGAGGAACGGGGGTCGTGTTCGTTGTAGACAGTCGGGTCCAGAATGCAAGCTGAGGCGCACAGAGGCTCAAGTGGGGCGCAGATACATGTTCAGATGCTTTGATCATCTTTCGCTGTGCTGGCTCCATCGCCGACAAGATTGGCTTCCTCTTTCTCTTTCTTCCGCGGAATATCGTCTGGATGAGGATTTCCCTCGTGATGGTCATCGGCACGTACCCGGCTCCAGACGACCATGAAGAAAAGGAAACCAAGTAACACGGCGATTATGGTGGGCGCCGCGGGGTGACGCATCGTGTTTCCGGTTCTTTTTGGCCTTCAATATTAATATCATCCAGCTGAATTCGGAGGTGTCAGCGACCTATTGCGCCTCTGATTTCAATTTACAGCCTTTGCTTTGTTTGCAAGGTGTTGTGTCGTTTTACGCGCAATAGCTAGTGGAGTGGAATATGATGCTGGAAAAGGGGTGTTTTAAATTCACTAGTAAAGATATTGGTAGAAGTAGACTGGGATATGATGACTGGGACTCAACACCTATTCCATTTGACAGCATTCCCGACGTTTACGTTGCGCTGGACATTATGCTTCACAAACGGCAGCTCTTGCCGAAGATTCCGCTTACATAAGATGTAAAGAGAGCTTTAGTATGTATTGGGAATAGCGTAGAGGTGGAAGTGGGGCCAGGGCCTGCTCAGCTGCAGGTTGCCCGGACGCGTATCGTCTCTACAAACACTAATCACAACCCTCACATGATCTCTTGACATGGACAACACCAAACCATGGCGCAAAATGCAAGGGTCTCTAGTATCACAGACGACCTGATCCGGTCACTTTTGACCTCTGATTCAGCAAAGAACAAGCAAGCCTACAAACACGCTAAAGAGATCGCAACACGCAACCTTCGAGGTCACCAATATGCGCGTACAAATCAGTTCGATGTCACAGCCAGCTTTGCAGGACTTGACGAGAAGTTTCGAGTCAAAAATCGAGATGATCTCGCTGATGCACTGCAGGTGCGGCTGCAAAAGCTCGAAGGATATACAAACAAATACAAACCTGAAATCTTAGCATTGTTGCTTCAATTAGCTGATCGGCCTCTTGAAAACACGCAAATCGAGGCACTGGACTTGCTAAGACCGCCAAGTCCACCTCCACCGCTGACATGGGCTGAGATCCTGCAAGATGATCCATATAGCGATGAAGATATATGGAAAGACATTGACTATGCTGGCGACTCCTCTGATGAGGAGAAGCCATTAAAGAAGCCCAAAAGGCGCCCAAGCTCACCGCCGACGAGTTTTGATGAAGATGCTACCTACGATCCGGAGTCTTGTGTTGCATCAACAGACAAAGAGATTGTGACAAAGCTAGAAGAAACACAATTTTGGAGCCGCCCTGTGAGCAAAGATAGTTCCGACGCAAGTATCACGGAATTACAGGCAGTAAAGGAGACACTGTTCATGATTGGTGGATTGAAGACAAGTCTATATGAAATAGACAAACAAAAGCGTTGTTTCCGCCACAATTCTAACTACGTTCTCGATCATACTCGATCAGCCTCCGTCGACCATCTGCTATCCCAGCTTGCGGAAATTGGCTCGCGATTGCAAGGAATGCGACAATGGACATTGCAACAGCGAACTAGCAAACGTTCATCATCACCTCTTGTCCAAACATTTGATGCTGCTGTGCAGAAACGACTACTCCAATTCGACCATCGCTTGGCAGATATGCAGCAGCAATACTTGCTGCCTGAAAACCCAATCCCGGTCAGTTTGCTCCAACTACACAGAGACATCCGGAAATTGTCGGCGCCCGTTCTACACTTAGCACCAATTGTGGCTCAGGTTGCTCGGGACCAAGCAACTCTGAAGGATAAACCTTTGGCGCATATCAATCCTTTCCGTCACCTGGAAGCCTTGTTCGAAGCGGCTACTTTGGCGCAAATGGCACTGGAGGATGAAATCTTCATGTATCTGTCGGTCGCCTTCTTTGAGTGTTTGCAGACATATCTCAAGCCAATAAGGCGGTGGATGGAAATGGGAGAGCTCGGATCCGACCAAGAAGCGTTTTTCGTCATGGAGAACGACGCCAAAAGCGAAACCTCCTCATTATGGCATGATCACTACGAGCTACGCCGTGATGGCCAGAACAAGCTACAGTTTCCTTCATTTTTGCAACCAGCGGTAAGCAAGGTCTTCAACACTGGAAAGAGCATTGTGTTCTTGAAAGAGCTGGGCATTTACGACACAGGTCTACATTCCGAGGTCCATGAGCCTAGTCTAGACCATGAGATGGTATGCGGTACTTCGGGCAATGCACCACTCTCACCCTTCCCAGAGCTGTTCCGCATGGCTTTTGAGTCATGGATTCGTAGCAAATATTCAATTGCTTCTACTGTACTCCGTCAGCACATTTTCGAGACCGACGGCCTCATGCACGTTCTCGGGGTCTTCGAGACACTGTACCTAGGCCGAAACGGATCCGTCTTTGAGGACTTCGCAACCACAATCTTCGAACGCATGGACGCCGGTAGACGAGGATGGAACGATCGCTACGTACTCACAGAAGTAACGCGAGGCATATACAGCACCATCCTGTCCACCTCCGAAGCCGACAAAATCGTCGTCCGATCCACCAAAGCAAGCCAAAACCACGGCAAATCTGTCAAAGATCTAGCTATCATATCAGTGGACTACGCAGTAAGTCAACCTCTCCCACCACCAATCCTCTTTTTCTGACTCATGTTCTCTCTTTCAAAAGATACCCTGGTCCCTCCAAAATATAATCCAGCGCACCTCCCTCTCAACCTACCACTCCCTCTGCACCCTTCTCCTCCAAATCTACCGCGTGAAATACCTCCTCCAACGTACACGCCTACGCGCCGCCCGAAGACCCAACCTGCCCCCCCTCCTCTACAAACTCCTCCACACCTTAACCTGGTTTACCGACACCCTGCGCTCCTACATCACCGAAACAGCGATCCACCTCACTACCCGCACCATGCTCTCTTCCATGCAGAAAGCACAGGATATCGACGAGATGTCACGAATCCATGTCGAGTACATGGCGAAATTGCGGCAGAGGACGCTGCTGTCGAAAGATGTGAAACCGATCTTCGCGGCGATACTCGAGATGCTGGATTTGGGCGTACTGCTTGCGAGAAAGGAAGGGAAGGAGCTGGGGAGAGTGGAGGCGGAGTTTAAGCGCTTGCTTCCGTTTATCAGTGCGGGACTGAAGAGTGTGGGGAGGGCGGGGGCGGAGCCTATGTGGGAGCAATTGGCAGATCGGTTGGATTGGGAGGGGAAGAAGGATCGGGTTTTGGTATAGAAGGAAAGGGCTTCAAGATTCGATTTGCCTTTTGTTTCATGTCTTATTTATGTTTATTGGTATATGTACTATCGAGTGATCAACTATCTGAGAGTAGATGTCAAAGGGGATAGAAAAAGAAAGAAGCCTCCAAGTCCAAGATACCGTAAAACTCCTCTTCCTCGTACGATAGACGAAATGTTCGTCGTGATGCATGTACACGCTGCAGTACGCATACGTCGTATCTATACACATGAACCCCAGGATCGAGCCGGCCGAATCGTTTTTTTGCTGTACCTGAGCAAAAACACACAATTGACTGCTGGAATCCGCACCCTCATTCCATACCCACATACTTGAACCACAGCGGTCGACAATCCTCACGATTCAACCACTTCTCACCGTCGGTAAAGCGACCGGCGACGCAGCCCGAGCACTTTGGATTGTTCGGACAATTGAAAAAGGGAATGTGCTGGTATCCGATATCGCGGAACCAATGGATCTTATTCTTATCTTCGAACAAGCCGAGCGCCACGCTGTGGACAGGGGCGTCGCCCCAGCGCTCATAGAAGAAACCACCAGCGCGATCGAGATGGTCAAAGTAATCGCGGTATTTTTTGCTACGCCAGAAGCTCAAGTCACCGACTTCGAAGTTGGACCAGAAGTGGCAGGTTGAGTAGCCGTGGGCTTTTTTGTAGTTGTCGGGGCGGCGCTTGCTATCTTCGAGCCACTCCCGCGCGTTGTTTGGATGAACGTAGTCTGGGTTGTCTTGGATGAATTTCTCTGTCTCAGGCCAGAGGGTTGCGACGCTGTCCGGGCTGTCGTAGATGTTGATGTTGAAGCCGTAGGTTTTGTTGTGATCTTGCATCCATGCGAAGACGTCGTAGTCGACGTCGCAGAAGAAGTGGACGTTGGGTTCGACTCTCCAGTAGTACTGCACGTCTTTCAATGCAGGGTGTTCACTGAACATGCCGCTGTTCCATCGACACATTTGATGATATGACTTTTTGCCCATGTATTGTACGCCGAGTGATTCTAGGAGCGATACAGACTCTTGGTATAGGTCCATGTTTATCCACGACGGCACATCCCAGTGCTCAGCGGGAACGAGCTCGTACCGCACTTCGGCGTTGGTGGCTGCGCGTGTAGCCTTTTTAAATTCTTCGGTAAATGGCTTATCGTTGAAGAAGGTCCACGGATAGTTGAACTTATGATTCCACGTGCGCTCGAGATCGCGCATACTCTGAAGCATATCCTCAAGTTCTTCATTGCGGACCAAACTGAGAATTGTGGCGTTGATGCGTGCGCTTTTCGGGTTATTGGGGGCATAGTTATCGCCGTCGACTCGTCGCAGTGGCTCGGGGGGTTCGCCAGACGCTGCAAGTAACAATTAGAACCCATACTCTACAGTTAAGAAAGTAAGAGATATCCTTACGGTCTAATTGAGGATCGTGATCCCAATCCCCAAGTTGGTTGCTCGGAAGCTTGTTCGGAATCTGTATGGGCGTCTCGGAACCGGGCGTCCTGAGAATCTGAACGAATAGATACAAAAACACACAGATAGTGGCGCCAGCCAAGTAGCGTACGCCCTTGGGAAGCGCCATTTTGAAAAGCGCGGGTGTTGGCTGTAGGGTTGGGACAAGAGTCCCGTCCTGAAAAGTCGCTGGGACGTTACATGTTGTGTTCCACGCAAGTAGTGACGCGGACGGGCAGGGACGCTAGTACACGATAGGGAAAGTGGAAAATGTGGGTCATGCCACGTGCAATTTGATGCAGCTGAGGCGGCTAGCCATGTCCAGATGGTTCAGGTAATAGATAAAATGATTGCATTGCAGAATAGACATGTACGTAGGAAAATTAACATAGCATGATACACCCCACCGAAACTCCAACTCAATGAATTCTGACATCAACCACTGTTGGCGAAATACACTTGCCAGGCAGATATCCTGCTCCCACACGCTCGTATATTGTCTCCCCAGCGCGGCCCTTGTGTCCTGCCACTGCGACAATCAAAACGTAGTGCCTTCGTGTCTCCGGTGACGGACTGCCTTTGGCCTTCCCCAGCACTACACAGAGTGTTTTCGGCATCGAAGATCTATTCGGAGTGTCGAAGATCAGCTCACCCTCGCTCAATACTGCAGCGCCAAGGTCGTACTCTCGTGCTGAAGCAACCAATGCCATATTCGCAATGCTGATATCGGTGTTGGATATGTTGCTGGGAGGATTTGTTGACCACGGGGATTGCAAGTCCTCCCACTCGTAGTTTCCGAAATCTGGCTGCAGGTAGTCTATTCCTCCAGTGTATGCCATCCATGACCACGAAGGCACAGTTGGTAGAACGCTTTCGCTGGGGAAGTGGATTCGCGTCAGACTCCTGGTGTCGACACCGCGTCGCCACAAGAGACTACGCCGGAGCAGACCCCGCGTCACTCCCTCATCGAAGACTCCAAACCCACCCTTGACATACATTGTACGGAGAAGACGTTGCTGCAGGCCGTCTATAGCTGTGGGTCTATCGTACGCTTTGGTGAGCCCTAGACGCGAATACTTGCGATAGAGCTCCTGGCAGCGAAGAATCCTTTCTCCTTGACTTGCACTAGAAAGTATGTGTGGAAAATCTGGATCTCCCAAAAAGGCTGCAAGTTTACTATTTTCAATAGTCAGCCTAGGCAAACGCAAACCCTGTATCATGTGCTTACTTGCTTAGCGTTGTCGAGGTTTCGCATCGAACCCCTTCACCGCATTCAAAATACGTCTGATGTTCAGTAAAGAACAGCGTCCTGCGAGCAAGGGCATGTTCTTGTAGTACCCACCCACGAGCATGCAGCTCGCCATCAAGAACATGTTTTTTGAAGTCATCAATGTTCTGGCAAATGTAGAAAGGGGCTTGTTCTTTACCCCCACGACGCAAGCCAACATAATCTCTGCGGTTGCGTCGTTTCAAGAATCCGGAGTGATGGTCCGCGGCGCAGCTCGCTGCAATCACGCAGTACGCACCACTGTAGACTTCCTCCATCCGCTTAGCCTCTTTTGCAAAGTCGCCACCCGGCCCTTGTATCACGCATAGGGAATCGATCCAGAGGTATCGTCGTCCCAACGCACGCGTGACTGTCACCGCGTCCTTGAATGTGTTTGGCAAAGAGCTCAAATCCATACCATCAAGATGAGCTTGAAGAGTTTCTGTGGTAGTTGAGAAATGCCTGGATCCCCATCTATGCGACAAAGCCACCCATTCTCCAGTGTCTTCAGCTCCAGTCACCCAGAGGCGAATCATGCTGTCGCCATCCACACCCACATCGAGCAATCTGGTCGGCAATCGTGATTTCACATTGTTTCTAAACTGTAGAGAAGGCCCACACGGATGTTTCTGATCACAGTAGTCAAGCCAATTTTTGACAACCTGAAGATGGACAACGCTGCCAGCATCTGGAAGGGCAACGAATCCCACCTGGATGTCAGTACTTGGTGGTAACTGCTGTCGAGGATCGCGAACGACGGAGAGAACGGGATATCCACTGCTCTTAATCTTCAAAAATGGACCAGTACGGTCAAACTTGATGATTGGAGATGCCGCTTCGCCGTGCCTGATAGCAGTGTTCAAAAGTAGGGGACACAGATCGCATGTTTGGGCGAGTGCGTTTGCTTTCAGGGCTTGGCTGTCGTATGATATTGAGAAACCAGGACTCAGAACCTGTTCTTGAAATCTTGCGCAATCTGTGCAGAGTACTGTTGCTACTTCGTGATGACTTTGGTCATGTGAATTCGCAGTTGTGAGCGCTGGACGTAAGTCCAATGCGACGCTGTTGCCAGATGAATACTTCCAGTCGTTTTCATCAAGCTCTGGAGAGGCATAGTTGACCTACATAGAGCAACATTAGTCATTTCAGAACAATTTACTAAATCCTGGGGATACCTACTCTCTTTTGGTAGGGAGCAGAAAGACCCTGACTCGCTGAGTTCGAAGTTTCTGTATACGTACCGAGATCTCCATCAGTAGTATCGTAACTTGATGCAATGAATTGAGAAGTGGAATATGATGCGGAGAGGCTTTCGGGGATTGAGTGACGTGATCCATTGATACACCAGTAGGTTTCGTCTTCATCTTCTGCATCGATGTGTTCTAGTCGTTTCCGGAACTCATCCGCAAGGAATCGACTTTCACCTGCAGGCTCAGGTTCAGGCGGTAAGGGAGTCATAGTGTTCACAGCCTCCTCTGCTGGGGTCAGACTAAATGAAGGTAGGCCTTGTGCTGGATTCTCAACGAAGCTCAAAACGTTTTCGTCAACCGTCGACTTTTCAGACGTCATAATACCAGAGCCATGCATATTCGGAATATGGGATGCAGAATCTTGACGAGGTTTCGCAGGGACTTCTGATATTGTCGTACCAAGCCTCGCCCGAAGTCTGACAACAAGCAGACCAGTCTTCACAAGTTCCAGGAGATCCCCGAGTGCAGTAGTACCAACTTGGCACTTAGGGTCGTCTGCCATCACGTCCATCCAGCGCGTCACAACGCTGTGTACTGAAGCAATCTTCTTTCCGTTGACCACATGAATCTCGTAGAAACTGTCGTTGCCTAATTCGTTGTGAAACCGAGTAACTGACTCTTCCCCATACAAAAGCCAAATGATGAGCTCCAGGGTAATGCAGCCCATAGCCCATATGTCGTATAGCCGTGAGCGTCGTTTGGTTGTGTGACCTAGATATTGAGACTTGATTCCTGTCTCTACTTCTGGGGCTTCGTATCGCCGAGTACCATACTTGGCTGCTGTCTTGCTAGGACGCATTACCGTGGCTTGGTCGTGTTGCCGTGCCTCGCCCCAATCACCAATTTTGAATGTTCCTACTGATCCTCCATCGTTGAAAACAAGAATGTTCTCCGGTTTCAGGTCGCCATGTCGATACGAAGCACCGGTTTTGTTCAAGTTGTGGGCAGCTTCAAGTGCTTTCGCGAGTCCCAAGATCTGTTTGATAACATCTTTGACGAGGCGTGCTGTCATAATGGGAAAAGGCATCCTTTTCCAAAGGCTGCAAAGATTTCCACCATCTGCCCATTCAAACATCAAATAGTACTCTTCCTCGCCTTGTTCTTTCCGGCGTCGAAAAGCCGTGATGAAATGGACGATATGGTCTTGGTTTAGTTGATTCATTGTCCGAAGTGCTCTGACTTCTTGTTCCCAGTGTTGGGCTACCTCTTCGGCGTCATCCTTGGCCTGTATCTCTTTCACTGCAAAGGAAGTGTCTTCTGGTAGTGCCTGCTCAAGTGTCAAAAGCCATACTAGCACCGAATTGGTTCCATCGAAGCTACTTACCGGGTTTAGGTGGTTTCGGTGCACTACATATTGAGACACCACGCCAAAGGAACCCCTTTTCGAATCGACTTTCTTTGAAATAAAGGGCAAAATATGAGACTCCTCCAGGTCATGGTTGTATTCGGTGGTTGAGAAGACTGGGGCTTCGAACTGCCACTGTTTCTCAAAGAACTCTGGGACCCAGTCTCTTTTCCCCAAGTCCTGCTGATTCGTGATGGGTAGTGAATTGTCATCAATGCCCTTCCTTTTCAATGACCTCATTACCTGCATCAAATCCTTTGGGTTCATGTATAACACGATGGCAAACACCTTCTTGGCACGTGTCTTGATGAACTCTATCATCTCACCATCCCTCTTCGAGCATGGTGTACCTATATCTAGAGATATCTTGATCTTTTCCTCTGTGATTATGTCCTGGATATTGCCTTCCGGAACAAATCTGAGTGGGGTTTTCTCGAAAGCGCTCTTCACAAGCTTGTCCGTGATCAAGGGTCGTAGCTCTAGTCCTGGGCCTGTCTCTTCGTCGGACTCTGACTCGTCAGACTCATTGTCAGATACAGCTATGGAATTATCGCTCGTGGCCACTGGATATTCGGTGGTGGCTGTAGAACCAGTAGTCATGGTCATAGAATCGACGGCCATGGCCATGTGTGGCCAGAAAAAGAGGAATCTCGGGTAATGGAGATGGACGACTTGAAAACGGAGAACAAATGCAATGACTGATATGATGGATTTTGCCAAGTACCGATGAGTATGGTCTCTTATCATGAAATTCTACATCACTAACCCCATCTCATGCTTTATAGCATGCCAGATGCAACCTGAATGCCACGGAGCTGTCGTTGACTCATTGAAGTTCAACCAAACTCACAAAAGACATGCAAGGCTGAAGCTGAATGTGCATGAGTCCTTCAAAGGATGAGAAAACGCCAATCGAACTCTCCAGGGTCCAATCAGCAAACGGACCAGGCGGAAATGAACCAGCCGGAAGAGGTGCTGCTGCTGGGCACATAGCCGAGATGAGAGCATGTTATCGCGGCGTCTACACCGGAGCATCGCCTATGGCGACCAGCTGAGTTGCAATCGCCAAGGATAACTCTCTGAAGGAGGCAAAGTGTGAAACTGGAGGTGGCGATGGTGGGGGGCCAGTAGTCGCAAGGCTGAACAACAGCCGTGGTATATTCGATGAAGAACACTCAAATGACACAACTGAGAGTATTTCCAAGTGTAAGCGATCATTTTACAGTTGTTTGATTATATATAGTAAAAAGCTTTTGTGAACTATCCTGAGGTGGGTTTCGGTTGCGAAAGTCGCTGTTGCTCGATGATGTTTGGTTTTGTGAGAACCAGCAATGCACGGCCCAAGCTCCAACCACCTGCCTATACTAGTGAACGCTTGCCTTGATAGCCACCCTGACTGCCACCGACCTTCCTTCACACCACACCATCCGTCAGCTGCATATGCAATTTCAAATCGCTTGTTCCATCCTGAACCATTGTCGAGTGGCTGCATCATGCTGCGCTCACAGCTTTGTCTTCTACCAATAGGAACGCATACATAACCGACCCTCTACCACCACCTCCGTGCTGGTTATGTTATCACCGACACTCATCGAGATCCATCTTCACGAGAACAATTAATCAGCATGATTGCGGCTGCGGACGTAAAGACATAGCCTTACCTGCGTCAGTTTCTCGCAGCTTTGGATAATATAGGTGTTATGCATCATCTGCATTATGAATTAGCGAACTTCAACCACGCCGCGTTCTAGATTTTTGCCCACATGTACATCGAACCCGCAAGGAAACTTCAGCTCCAGCTTTTTTACCAGCTTTTCCGGGTCGATACCAATAACGCCAACCTTTTGCTCGTCATTTCGGCAAGGCGACTTGGTAGTTGATTGTGGGAGTGTTCGTCGTTTCTTTAAGGGTTTGGGAAAAGACCTCTTAAGCATCCGAAATAGGCCACCCATTGTTATTGTCACTGGAAGATTGCACAGGTCCTTCTCGCGGGATCCCACCTGAAATAAGTTCTTCTAGTCTTCAACCCCGAGATGGCCTCATGGGATCAAGCCACTGGGCTGAGCAACCGTTCATATCGCTTCTCTCTCAGCCACAGGCAATTTCGAAGAGCCAATCATGCCTGTGCCTCAGACACCAACAACTCTGGAGCTGAAACCCTGTGCCGGGCATGAACAGTGATGCGCGCGCATCATCAGATCTCAGCCTACAAGCATGCTACGCGATACGAGGTGCCACCGATCATATCGAATGGCTTTCTTCAGCATGATGCCTGAACAAGAAATGAGCGCTTACAGGTGCGACCCTCAATATGGCCACTCCGCGTGCGCCGCGGCTGCCAAAGAGTCAGACTCGCACACTGGTGTACGCATTAGGTATACTTTGTCGGTGTGGTGCAGAAATGATTAGGTCTGATCAGTCTTTCACCGGGCATTTAGGGCTGTATAATGTAAGAGCAGAATGTCAGAGCCTGAAACTTCGCCCTGGCTTCCCTGTTGCGCCCCTACAGGGATTTACAGCCGTCAGTATTGGACCCCACGCTTTAGTTCAGAAACGGGAGCCTCACCGGACTTGAAAGCTGTGCGTGTCATGATTTCTGGTAACTTTACTCGTCTTTCCCGTGTCTATTATTGCCTAAGGTATTTCTACAGCTTCAACCAAACTGTTTCAACATACATGATATGCCTAGCATGGTGGTCATGCAATGGACCTCACCAGTAGTGTGCTCTTCTCAATCTGATTTGTGTCTGCCTGAATGCCAAAATCCAGTCTTACGTAGAGATGATGAGCTAGTGGCTGACGATTGCCGCTTTTCTGAAAGAAACAATATGCAGACCCGAGTCCCGCAGCAAGGTACGTTTGAGTCGAGACCACATGTGCATAAGATAGCTGACGGTTTACGACAGATGCGACGCAACAGCTGTGCCTAAGAAGCGAGCAATCGTCTGATATCGAATCGAATAAGTTACCCAGTCGTTCACCTGACGACATGCATCTGTCAAGCAGAGACCCAACTTATTCAAATGCCAATCACGCCATAGCAGAGAGTGATGGTGACCGTAATGAAGCTCTTAGTGAAGAAAAGACTGTAATTGCGAGCCCAAGAGCTCCCAACATGCGAAAGAACGTCGTCAGCCCCGTTCTGTTCATACAAAAATGGGCACGGACGCATTTACCCCAGGATGCGCCAATAGCTCAGCTACCGAAGAAGCTCGCAGAAGCTACAGTTAAAACGCACTTCCAGCATAGATTTATACCGAACAGTCATGTCAGGGATATTGTCACAGCTGAAGCAGTACGGATCGAGCTCGAAAAGTCAAACTATTCAACCTTTCGGAGAATTCACAAAAACCCAGTTACTACCGAAGACCATTCAGCATATAAGAAAATCCTTACCATCTTGTACCTCATAAAGAAGCCATCTAAGATTCGGATGTTTGTTACCTGTGGTGTCTGCGACAAGGATCTGCCACTAGTCATATACCAAGGCTCGAATAGACCGCATTGTTTGCCTGAACTGAGAAGTCGGGACAATGATTCGGCCCTCCCTATTATATTCAGAAGACGAGACTACACAGATGATTTCTTTCATAGCCAGTGGAGAGTTCTCGCTCCTGTATTTGCTAGAGATGAAGAGGGCCGCGATCCACGCATCGTTCTTGAGCCCGAAGTAATCTTACCTTTCATCTCTCATTCCAAAATCACAGAAGGTGGGTTTAGCAACATTTACAAGACTGAAATACACCCTGACCATCATAGTCTGGGCACAAATAGTGTAGGTAGCTTTCCTCCGTTCTGGCTAGACTGCAACCTAATAACATTAATAATTCACTAGGGAAATGTCTTCGCCATCAAAGAACTGAAGTCAAGTGATCAGGAAGCATTTAGTCAAGAAGCTACCGTTCTAGACAGAATTTCAAACAAGCGACATGCTCATAAACATCTGATCACTCTATTAACCACTTTTCAGTACGCCAAAAAGTTTCATTTCATATTCCCATGGGCGGATGCTGATCTTTTTGAATTCTGGAAACGACACGAAAAGCCACCCAGTGGCGAGATGATGGACATGTGGATCATAGAGCAATGTCGTGGCCTTGCAGATGCTCTCAACAGTATACACAGATATGCGACAACATCAGGAACAACATTGTTCAATGTCTTCCATTTGACCGAACAGGTGGACGACGACAAGAAAAAACGACTCATCCGAACCGACAGTGCGGGCAACGATCATCACCTCCGCAGTCTGTTTGGCCGCCACGGAGATATCAAGCCAGAAAACATCCTTTGGTATCCCTGCGAAAACTCAACGGGAGGTCACGGCGTTCTCAAAATTGCCGATTTCGGTGTGGTGCGCTTCAACACGGTGAATTCCTGGGAAACCCATAAGACTGGTCGAATTCCAAACACTCAGACGTATCGTTCACCTGAGATGGATCTCGACGGAAACCCGACTACAGCCTGCGATGTTTGGGCTTTGGGATGCGTCTTTCTTGAATTCGTTACCTGGTATTGTGGAGGCAACAAATTGGTAGAATGGTTTGGCAAGCGGCGTTTGGTCAAGGATCCGCGGGTTGCAAACATGGAGACCGACACCTTCTTCATCCTGTATATTGAACAAGGACAGATAAAAGCCAAAGTGAAGCCTGCTGTTATCGAAGTAAGACCTCCTCATTCTTCTCCCCCAGTGCTTTGATTCATACCTACCCTACCGCACTATGCACGCAGAATGGATGCGGTAAACATGTCATCCATTGAATGCCTTCTCTTTTCACATCGCTAACTAGACTCAGGTAATCGAAACGCTACAGGCAAATAAAACCTGCACGCGCGAATGCAGAGAACTTCTTGACATGATCCAGGCAGACATGTTAGTCGTGCAGCAACAAGAAGCACCCACGAAAGAGGACAATGATGTATCAAGATCCCAAGAGGCGCTCTTTTCGAGTACACACAATCGAACGCGGTTGGGTGGTGTTCGAAGAAAGAGCTGCGGAGACATCTGGCGCAAAATAGGTGACATTGAGTCTATTCGTGACCAAAAAGAAGGATTAACGCGGTACGACACGTTTGTACCGGCGTCACCTGTTGCCGAGAGTCACTACATGTGGTCCCCAAAGACTCAACTGGCTAGTGCGATGAACGCACTTGAGATATCTTCAGGCGGATGAGCAATCACTTAGCAGTCTCAACAGTCTACGAGCTACTGTAGTTGGCAATCAACCATACTCGATTGCATCACGCACATCCCACATACAGAAACGAAACCCTAGCCTACGAGAGTCGACAACTACTCTCCGTATGCCACACCATCTCGAGGAAGCAGCGACTCCCCCAAGCGCTTAGCAACACTCCAACGCAAGGAACTTGGCTGGCGAGCCACTTGCCATCCTTCGCCCGAAATCATGTACCGTAGTTCCTCGCATTAGGCCGAATTTAACACAGCACCAGGACATCAACCTTGTCCTGTGTAAGACGGTGCACCGCCACCCGAGACACAATACTGTATCGCCGATCTCTCTAGATAACAGAGTCACGACATCTCTCTCTTCGTTTTTATGAAGATGCACGGGAAAACGCACAAACAAACGCCAACCAATTTCACACCGTTTGTACAATTATTTTGTTTGCCTCATTTCTTATATACCCAATCTCAATTCCGTTATTTAGCTCCCAACCAAGTTCATTTTTTGTCACATCAATCAAATTTCAAAGAGCAAAAAAAGATGTTCGGTAAGGCAAATGAACAACTAGTGTCTAATCCAAAAATCAACTTTGTTTACATCTATTCATATACTCCGTGACATGATCATCCCATCCATCTATACTCTCAAACTTTCTCAATGCTACATCAACCTCAACCCCTCCGGATCTCCCAGTCCACTCACAATCTGACATCAAATCTAATGCTCGTGCCCATGATGCTCATGTCCCGCGCCCTTATCTCCAAAATCGACCTTCCACCCCCTCGTAACAAAAACGCGGGGGTCCCTCACAACAGCAAACGCCGCCTTCTTGCCCTGTGCAGGATGGAATTCCAGAGGCACAGATTTCTTCCTACGTGTTTCCTTTTCACCCTCCTGCATAACCACAACCTCATGCTTGTCCTTCCAAGCCTTAGGTGCACCGACAATAATAATCTTTTCAACACGGACATTCTCCATGGTCTTGAGGTACTTCTCGCACTTGACGGTGCGCTGGTTGGTGTCGAGGTTGGAGGAGGTGAGGATTTGGCGGGCGCCGTCGAAGGAGAAGCGGCGGTGGATGAAGGCGCCCATTTCGTAGTCGAAGGTTTCGCCGTCATCGAGGTAGAGAGTGCCAACGGCGTTGCCGTTTTTGTCAAGGTTGACGACGAGGGTGAAGGGGTCGTATTTCATGAGGCCGGATGAGCGGCGGGGACGGTCGCGGCGGGGGATGATGTTCCCGCCTTGCATGAGGAGAGGAATCTTTTCGAGAGGGGCAGGGACGGTGTGGTGGCCTTTGCCGCTGTAGATGGTGTAGTCGAAGTAGTCGTAGTAGGGCTGGTCGTCTGCGATGTAGACAGAGACGCTGTCAGCGCCCTCCTTGGTGACTGGTTTAGCGAGAAGTCCAGTGGAGCCGATGTATAGCTGGTCATCAACCTCAAAGCCAGCCTCGTCATCTGGATGAACCCAAAAGTTTGGACGGATGATTGGAGCACCAGTCACGTGAGCTTCACGGAAGGCAGTGTACCAAGCAGGGAGCAGCTGGTATCGCAAGCGAAGAGCTTGGGTGATAATCTCAGTGTATGGTGATCCAGGGATGTAGGGCTCACGACGACGAGTGTCGATATGAGCATGGCCACGGAAGAATGGGTAATAGATACCGGCTTGGTACCATCGGGTCAACAATTCCTTGCTGGGGTTACCGAAGAAACCTCCGACATCTGCACCTCCGAAGGGGAAACCAGAGATACCCTGGTTCAGAACCATGGGGATGGAAGCCTCAAGATGAGGCCAATCTGCTTGGTTGTCGCCAGTCCACATGGCTGCAGAGCGCTGACTGCCTGAGTAGAAGGCACGAGTGAGGACAAAAGGACGGCGGAGCTCACCCTTCTTACGCTCAGTGATAGCCTGGTATGTCGCATTGTGGAAGGTCATGCCATTGATGTTGTGTACATCGCGGTGCTCCCAGTTACCGTGATGCAGGTTGTCCTTGGGCATAGTAGTCTCAGGGCCGTTGAACACAGACGGCTCGTTCATATCGTTCCAGATGAAAGTGTTAGGAGCGGTTCCCTTGAACTTGTCATACTTGAACAAAGTCTTCCACCACTCAACAGCAGCCGGGTTGAAGCAGTCGATCCACATGGAAGAGCCAGGCCAGCACCATCCATCGTAATGGTTGCCCTCCTTGTTCTTGACAGCTAGATCCTTCTTCTTGAGTTCGTCGATTACTGGGTAGTCATTGGTATTCTTGATGTGCGGATCAATAATAGCAACCAACTTTCTTTCACGCTTGTCAAGCTGTTGTAGCATTCCATCGGGATTAGGGAACGTAAGAGGGTCCCAAGTGAAGTACTTCTTCTCCTGTGTATATTCAATATCGAGCCAGATGACATCGTACGGGATGTTGAACTTGTCAAATCGTCGATCAACGTCCTTAACGTCTTCATCGGTGACATAGTTCCATCGGCACTGATGGTAGGCAATGGCAAAAGACTGGGGCATAGCAGTGTAGCCGGTGAGCTCACCATACTGCCGAGTGAGATCCTGAGGGGTCGGGCCAAGGAAGACGAAGACGTCCAACAGACCGCTCTCAGACATCCAGTGAGTTTGTGTGTCAGTGTGACCCTCAACACCAAGGGCTAGAGGGTTCGCAGTGTTTCTCTTCTTGGTGACATCAATCCAGGTCTCAGCAGCGTTCAGCCAGAAGACACCGACGGTTGAGCCCTTGCGATGGGCTTGCATGAAGGGAATGGCGCCATAGAGAGTCATAGGGCTGTCCATCTCGTATTCAAAGACATCGGCATTGTACAGACGGTACGGCTCAGTGTAGGCGTTGTCGCCGCCCCTGTTACATGTCAATTATGATTGGTAAGGGTTTGTTGTTGGTACATACCGTGTAGTCTTGAGTGAGAGTCTGGTTGCGTGCTCAGGAATACCAAAGACATGTGCGTAGCCTGGAAAAGAGATGTCGAGTGCAACAGCTTCAGGGCCCCTGGGCTTGCTGTCGGTGTTACCACCGAAACTCTCTTCCCACCATGTGCTCTCGTCTTCGCTGGGTTGCTCAACCTTCTTCTCTTCTTCTTTGACTTCTTCTTTGGCTTCTTCTTTGACTTCTTCACCTTCCTTCTTTTCTTCGGCAGGTTTCTCGATCTTTGGTCTCCAGTGCTCCACATTCATATAACCACGCTCATTGAACTTGACCTGAGTCTCTCCTTCCCTCTGGAACTCGATGCCGAATGGTGCATGTCGAATGATAGCTTGGTGTCTTCCGCCTTTGCCATAGACGATCTTGGTGTATCCTTGCTCAGCATCTGGACTGAATGCAGCACCGGTAGAAGGAGTCAGTCCTCCAACAAGAGCCCATTTGGAGGCTTCGTTGTATCGTTCCTTCCTTGCTTTGCTATCGTGACGGAGCTCGATGTTACCCTTGGCCCTCTTCTCCTCGTCGAGGGTAACGCGAGCGACACCAGTCTCGAGGAAAGTAACAGTAAGCGGTAGACGAACTTTCTCCTCGCCTTCTTTGACTGTCTTGAGAACAACAGCATCCAATTGACCATTGTTGAAGGTTATTGAGGCAGGGTCGAGCGTGTAGGGGGAGCTCCAGGAGCTCGATGCAGCGACGTCATCGGCAAACTGGCGATTTCGCTTGCAGAAGCCAGATTGATCGCATGTTTTGAAGTTTTCGTGCTTGACCGAGACTGCAGCCTGTCAGCATACTATTCTTTTGGCTGTATTCATGTACCAAGAAGATGAGGCTGCCGGCCACTGCAGGGCGGGCATAGAGAGCTGCGGTGAGCTACATACCAGCTGTCCCAAACAAGCAACACACAACTGCTAGCAGTAGAAACACAGCCGTCCACCGGGGAGGCCGTTCCCGTAGATTGATCATGGCAGGCAGCTCTTGAGAACGAATTCAGAAGCCCGCCTGGAATGCCATTCACTCAGACCAATCCTCAACACTCAAGATGCCATGTGGACTTTGAGACGACGCCAAGCTCAGGGTCCAGTGCTTTTGCACAAATTCGGCATAACTTTATGCAACATTACCCCACTAGACAACGAAGGCCGCAGCAACCCCCCCTACCCCCACCTCTCAAAAAATCCAGCTCCATCTCGGTGTCCCTTCCTTTCCTTCAACCTCCACCTCTATCCAAGTATGTCTAGACCACCTGCCATTGAGCCATTGACCGAGGTCTGAAGACTAATCCCATTGACAGAACACCAAACACCACACCATCTCCACCATGACTACCGAGCAGACGTACGTTGGCACTCTCAAGAGCAAGAGCTGCTCAGGGGCGGTGAACAGCATGCTGACACAAGACATAGCTTCATCGCTGTCAAGCCTGATGGCGTCCAGGTACGTAGCAGCTAAACTCCATCTACAGTTGCTCCATTGCACTCCTGCCGCTTGCATTTCAATTGCTATGGTAGCCTGAGTTGATGGCCGGCAGAGCTTTCCAAAAAGCAAAACAAACAACTAACATGCTCAACAGCGTGGCCTCATCGGTCCCATCATCACCCGCTTCGAGAACCGCGGCTTCAAGCTTGCCGGTATCAAGATGGTTCAGCCGTCCAAGGAGCACCTCGAGAAGCACTACGAGGACCTCAAGGAGAAGCCCTTCTTCCCCGGTCTGATTGCCTGTAAGTCTCTCTCTAACCCAACCAGCGACCAATTGCGTCACTATCGCTCTCAACAATCGAGCCACGCGCTAACACGTTCCAGACATGAGCTCCGGCCCCATCTGCGCCATGGTCTGGGAGGGCCGTGATGCCGTCAAGACCGGCCGCTCCATCCTTGGTGCCACCAACCCCCTTGCCTCTGCTCCCGGCACCATCCGTGGTGACTACGCCCTCGATGTCGGCCGCAACGTCTGCCACGGCTCCGACTCTGTCGAGAACGGCAAGAAGGAGATCTCCCTCTGGTTCAAGGAGGGTGAGGTCCAGAGCTGGAAGAGTGCTCAGCACGACTGGGTCTACGAGAAGTAAATGCCTTGACAACTAAGCTGTGAGGACACTGGGCAACTTTGTAACTAGAAAGACGTAGCGAAGAGTTAGTTCGTGTCTTGCGGCCTCAATACCGCAAAGAGTGCGAGCTGGCCTAGTAGTTGCGGTTTCTCAGCGAAAGGATGCTCTAAGCTCTTCATAGGATAGACGTGGGGCTATGAGATATGACCGCATGATAAAAAGGATACAAGTAGAAGCCAATGAGACACATGAATGATCTCGAAGCACTTTATCGTTGATCGTGATGCCAATGGGATGGTGCACATAGGCGTTTACATTTTACATCCGATGCCAAGGTACTACAGGATATTTCGAGCACCTATGCATCCGCACTGCCTCCAGCAGTTCCCTTTGCCTTATCCCTACTCCTAGTCTTAACCTGACTCTCTTCCTTGTCCTGCAACTCCTGCTTGACCTTGCCCTCATACCAGACCCTCAGCCTCTCCACCTCGCGCCATTCACCCTCACCACGCTCAACCTCCGGCCCTTTGACCTCCTCCCTCGCCTTCAACTCTCCAAACGCCCCCTTCTCAGCACCCCAATCTAGTTCCCCCCACCGCCAAACACACCACGCGCTCTCATCCGCACTCACAAGCGCTGGATGCCGATTCAACGACTTTACCGCAAACGCCCTTAACAACACCACATCTCCCACACCCGCTTCCGGCAGTGCCTCGCGGTACGCACGGAAGCACTGGACAGTGGTTGTCGCAGGCCAGGAACTCGCATCGGTGATATGCAAAGTCGTATTCCAGTGCTTGGGCCCCTTTTTCGCTTTTTCATTTGCGGTTGTGGCGGAGGTGACGAGGGCGAGGATGTCTGGGTTTGCCGACGAGTGGAACTGGGAGGAGCGGTTAAGAAAGTAGGGGAGGTCTTTGAGGGGAGTGTAGTAGGAGAGAGGGGTTGAGAGGCCGATTGAAGGGGATTCTTGTGTGTCTTTCGACCCCTCGGGTTTTGAGGTGGGTTTTTCGATGAGAGTTGGGGATAGGGAGGTTGATGTCGTGTGTGTGGCTGTTTTGTTGCGGCCAGGCGTGGTTTTGGTGTCGAGAGACTTTTGCGCGCTGGGTGATGCAGATGTGGCGTCCATGTCGGCGTCCTGCTGGGAGGAACGGAGATGGGCTGATGTCGCCTGGGTGGGTTGGGGAGTTAATAACGAGTCTTGTCCTGTGGGTGCAGCAACAAAGCTTGATTGAGCTTCATTCGCAGTTTGCTGAGTTGCGTCCGGAGTCATGAGCCTTTGCCTTTGTAAAGCTGCTTGTGAGTTAAGCGTAGAGCTGCGCATGGACTCCTCAGCCTCGACTGCAGGTGCTTGTGATAGGCCTTCACTTTCACCCTGTTGTGACTTCTCTTCAGGCTTTGGATCCGCCTCACTGACCTCTTCACTCTCCTGACGCTCAGGAACATTGTACACGTTCCTTCTTGTTCTCCGCACATTGCGAGGACTTTGAGTGACCGGCTCGACAGGCCCTTTTGAACGCAGCCGCCTGCTGGGGCTTCCAGATTCAGATGTTGCAGCTTGACTGCTGTGGATCTCGACAACTGCCTTTGGCGCAGGCTTCTTTCGTCCCGTCTTGGCCTTCGACTTTGTTTTTGACTCTGGATCAGTACCCGAGAGGTATTCGATAACCGAGTCATCTTCTCTGCTTCGAGCATTGTGTTTCACAGGACTGTCAAATTCCGATTTCTGCGCCTCAGTCAAGTCTTCTAATGTATGTGCAGGCGACGCGGAATATTCGGTGTGAGTGTTCCGCTCAGTCCAGTCTTTGACAAGAACATCATTTATATGTTCATTCTCGGATGCATTTTGATCTTGTGGCAACTCGAATTTGGGAGATGATTGGTCATCCCTCTCTTTCCGAGAGCGAGCTGCAGCAAATTCTTGCTTTAAGCTTCTCTGCAAAGATTTCCGCGGGCTCTCACGGACAGTAGTAGAAACATGAGCAGGAATATTCTTCTCTGGAGACAAAAAGTCTGATCTGGTATTAATGCTGTGTGGCGAGGCCTGTGCAGCTCCCTGTGATGGAGATTTTGCCGAACGCGCGCGTGTCCGAGGAGGAGAAATGACTGAGCGCGCAATGGAACTCACAGAACCCCGGGAGCGCGTCGAGCGCGTGGTTCGAATAGAAGCAGGTGCTTCGTCCTTTACCGATGGAGTTTGGGCTTTGGCCTTGGATCTTGTGTTCTTGGTCGGCACAGTACGGGGTGTATCTACAGTCTCCACTTCATCAATATCGTGGCCCTGTTCGGCTTCAATCATAGATAGTTCGTTGGTAGACAGATTAGGAACCTCTGATACCATTGAAGCCTTGGAGTGGTCGGTTTGTGAATCGAAATGGTCTTCTATCCATTGGTGTTCCATAACCGAACCTTCCTCTGTTTGAGTATATTGTTCATCCCGGAACTCCTGTGACATGTGGTCCATTGGAAAAGCGTCCTGCAAGTAATCATCGGTAGCTTCTACAGAAGCTTCATATGAGTGGTCCATGGAGAAGGACTGCTCCACCTGATCGACATCTTCACTGGGTTCCGGTTCCTGGGATGGCGTGTGAGTTGCAGCTGGTTCATCCGGGGCTTCAGAACGAACGGAAGTTTCGGTTGCGGGATCCTGGTTTACGAACACACTGTGAGTTTCGAGGGTTGCGGGTGAAGGTTGGTCTTGATTCTGGATGAAAGTCTTTGGACTATGATGTTCGATGGGCGAGCCGTGTTTACTAGGCGAAGATTGCCGATTGTCTTTTGGTTCTTCAATAGCTCCACTTTCAGGGTGTACAGCTAGGCTAACAACTGCGTCATCCTCAGTCTCCTGGGCAGTGTGATGAGCGATGTCCTGATCGGGTTCCTCAGCACTGGAACTTTCATCGTCGCCTGAAGAAGGCATCGTTACATCCGAATCTTGGGCTTCTTCAGCAGTGTTCTGTGCCTCTGTTGCAGGCATCTCTTGAGCATTTTCGCTGGCTTTCTGAGCATCTCCTGTATTCTGAGATTTTGAGAGAGCGCCCGCATCATCAGAGGTGTTAAATGAAGTGTCTGCGATCGTAGTCGAACCTGATGCCTCTGGCACATCCTTACCTTCTTGGTCCGGCTGGGCTTCAGGTGGTGGCGACGAGAGCTCCATAGGGCGCGAAGATCCAGCGCCATCCATACCAAAAGTGAAGCGCAAAGGTGCAAAGGCTGACTCATGATTCGGGTGAAATGCGGACACGTTTGAGGAACCAATCGAGCTAAAGAAAGACGTCTCACCGATATAGCTTGCTTCGCTTGGTGGTTTTTCCTCGGCTTCGTCCTTGGCTTCCGGTTCGATAGTATGCTCATTGGCAATCAGTTGATCAAAGTAAGAGGTAGCGGTGTTTTCGCGCTCGCCAGGAAACGGTGACGGTATTGGGAGATTGGCTGAGTCCAGGGGCCGAAGAGTTGGGCTTCCAGGCTCCTTACCGATTGGGGTCAAGAGAGCAGCAGACACAGTGTTTTGGGGATCGGTTTGAATAGTGGTCAAGGTAGGAGGAGGCATGTCAATTCTTGGAGCATTGATGAGTGGCGCTGGTGATGTTTCTGCATCTTGTTCGTCTCCCTTGGGGAAAGACGTGGATGTTGGGGCTTGTTGTGGTTCCACAACCTGTCCACGGTCTTCATGTGTGTCATTCTCTGTCCGCGCTTCTGCAGCTGCATCTTCATCGCTGCCTGTAGTTTCACGCTCCATACGGTGAACCTCATCAGCATCGGGCTCGTTTGTGCTTGTACTGCCACCCTCGGCCTCTCCTTGCGCAGGATATTCTTCCTCTGTGTTGACCTCAGTGTCTACCTCGGTATCGCCACCAAAAGCGTACTGGGCGTCTGATGACAGATGCTCATCTGGAGCCGAGTAGAGCACGCTGTAGTCAGATCCGCGAACTACGCTCTCGTCTGCATCTTGCTCATTCGGTTGCGAGATAGCCTCCTCTGCTAAAATCGGTGCTTCTGTTTGGTCAGCACCTTGAGTACGCAGTGGCTTGGTTGATTTGGATACTGTGGCGGACTTTGAGGGCGAGGTAGGTGTTTGAGGGAGCTGTTCTGGGCGGCTGGGCGATGCCTCAAGCAACTCCATTTCCTCGTCCGTAGCCACATCCTCCTTCTCTGGCGAGGGTGTCCTCGCACTATATGTCCATGCCTTCCAGTCTCGATACGATTTCCTCCGTCGCTTTTTGTCGTGGCCTTCGCCTGTTTCTTCGGCTAGGGGATCGTAGGGCGGCTCGAAGAAGGGCCCGTCAGACAGGCGTGCGCGCTTCAAGAAGGCAGGAGACGAGTATTGTAGCGCTGGACTTGGAGCGGCTCGAGATTGTCGGCGGAGTGGTGATGCAGGGGCTGGAGTAGGCGGCGCATCAACGAGCTCGATATTGGCGGTCTCTTCGCTATTTCGGTAGATGCGAATGACGACTGTTTGAACATATTCCAGCTCCCAATCGATACTCTTTCCAGGCGTGCTGATGGCGCCCTCAGTGACGAATTGCGCGCCTCGCAGGCTCAAGACAACCTCATCGCCTATTCCTACGCCTGTTGTCGCAATGGCCTTTGCACTTGCGCCCGAAAAGCGAGCCCTGACCTGACCGTTCCTTCGCCTGAGCCGTAGATCTGGCTCCGCGAGTAGGAGGGCCAGCTGGCGTGCCGACGACGAGTACGGCCATATCAGCGTGACGGTGGCGCGGAAATGCTGCGATTCCACCGAGGGCAGTTCCGGGTTGAGTTGCGCAATCGGTGTCTGCTCCATGGCGCAGGTGAAGAGGCGGAGGTTGTTGTTATGAAGAATACATTACGTTACAGGGGCGCAAATGTAACAGCGAGCAAGCCAAAGAATAAAGTATGCGCCGAGTACTGTTGTTGGTGGATTGACGTCTGAGCAACAAATGGCTACTACCGGCGCGTCGTTCCGAAGGACGCGACCTCATCTAGCACTGTCCACTTTCGACCAACCCAGCACCGCCTGTGTCAAGCATAAATCAAACAGGATTGATGAGCACTTTGGAAGAAAACTTCATCCAGAGACTAAATTTTCCTTAATTTTGGAAAACAGCAATTTGCTTTTGGCGATGGCAAACTCGATGTTCCCCAGTACTCGGCGGAATATACAACAGAACGACACGTGACCATCGGCTCCACTATCCAAGTAAGCAACAAGTGGTTCCAATGTGTACACAAGAACTGCAAATAAAGAAGTTGAGTAACTAAGTAGATATAATAACAGTCCTATCTAAGAACATGTAAAGCTGACTCAAGTCTGTAAAGCGTCTGCCCAACCTCGATCTCCCAAGGACCGAAGCCGAAAAGCAAGACTCATAGCACATTTGGCAGATCCAATGATTCGTATCTCCAGAAACACCTAGACTCAACAACATAGGAAATGACACTTGCCAACCGTATCATGGAAGCCCAAGCACGTCCTTCAACACTGCCAACGCGCCAAACAACTCACTATCATGGTATCTCCTCGCATTAACCTGCAGCGCAATCGGCGCCCCGTCAAAACTCGACTTCTCCCAAAGTTCCTTGACATGCTTGCATTCCTCACTCAACGGCTTGTAATCCGGTGCATAGTCCTCCTTCGTCTCAGCCCTAATCGGCGTCGGCACAACAATACCAGGATAATCCACGAAATTGTAGAGACAAGTGTATGTCCAGTAGAACGCAGTGTCGTGCACAGAAGCCGGGCCTACAAATGCAGGTCCGATAACGATATCGATTTCCTGTTTGTTCCAACTATCGGCGAATGCGTAGCGGAACTTGTCGCGCTCGGTGCGGAGATCGGTGACTTGAGAGGCGTCGAGCATGCCGTGTGGTTTGGCGTCTTTCCAGCCCCATTCTGTTAACTCAAGAATTGGCTCGCCTGATGCTTTGTAGAGCTCTGCTTCCTTTATGCCACCTCCAGGCCAGTACATGCGTCGGATCATTTTCCATGCTTCTGCTGCGTTGTAGGGTTTGAAGTCTTTGATTTCAAAGATACCAGAGTATTTTGGATCGGAGAGTCGAGATCTAGCCCATGCAATAGCGCGCTTGACTGGAGGCTGGGGCTCAATGAAGCCATCATTTTCGATGATACCTATTCGTAATGGCTTGTTGGTTGGGGTTTGCAAGCCTGTCCACGGCAACGGAACTAGCTTTTGATCTTGAAGCCACGGCTTCTGGCCAATGACAGAGTTCATGAAGAGGTCTATATCCCGTAAGCTTCGACTGAACGCGCCAGTGCTGCCAATAATGTTGAGTTCGGCGGCGAAGGGTAAAGCAATATAATCCTTCGCTGGAAGTACATAAGACGTAGTCTTGTATCCATAGATGCCGCAAAATGCCGCAGGTCCTCTGATGCTACCGCCAATGTCTGTGCCCACACCAAGAACTGATCCCTTCATGGCCACCAGTGCTGCCTCGCCACCTGATGAGCCTCCAGCACTGAGATCAGTGTTGAATGGATTTATAGTGCGGCCGTAATGCGATGTAGTCTCTAAGTGCATAATTCCCTGTGGCTGGTTTGTCTTGCAGTAAAATACCGCGCCCATGCTTCGTAATATGGATACCATGACACAATCCTGTTCATCGAACTGTATGCTTGCCATTGCTCCACAGGAGGAATAAGTTCCAGCAACAGGTATGTGTTCCTTAATGCTAATTGGTACCCCATGCAAAGGCCCGATCGTTCTCCCATTCTTCTCCAGATAGTCATCGAGTTCCTGAGCTCTCTTAATCGCGTCGTTCATGAACCATTGTGTCAAGCAGCATGTTAATTGATGCGCAATGATGGCTCGTTTAGAATAGGCCGTAGCTACTTGAACTGCTGTTAACTTGCAGGCAGCAATAGCTTCCGCAAGGCCTACCGCATCGTACTTTTCCGTGATATCGATCTCGGTAGGAGTCAAAATACCGCATTTTGTGGGTACGCAAGAAACATCCTTTGGCGGATTTGAGAAGAAGTCTGACGATAGCCGCAGTTCTGAAGGCACTTTCTCCGCAAAGGCTTCGAGAATGGCGGCACGCTTCTTCTCGTATTCCGGTGTACCCTGGAGCAGGGGTTTAGTTTGAAGCACTGTGAGGTTGGAAGGATGCCCAGGCATTTTTATGGACAAATGACAGCGAAGAAACAATACAAGGAGTTCACACTCTCCGTACACGCGATGGGGGATCACAAATCCCTTATGTGCAATTCGTTAATCATTTTCGGGCTTCAGCGGAAGCAAGCCGTCCATTTATTTTTCGTAACATCAAGTTATGCGGATCCGGCATTGGGCAACGTGGTGGTCCAGCTCTCCAAATTTCCACACGATACCATGATAAAGCCATTGGGGTCGAGGGCGGAATCATCCCGGTGGCCGGCCGTTCTGCGTCAAGTAACCATGGCCCCCGCCCAACCCCCGCTCCGCCCCGCATGAACCGATGCCTTCATCCTTACTACTTTACAAAACACCTACGTATCATGCCAATCACAACTCAACATCATATCAAAGAAAACGGGTCGTCTAGTATATAGTTGGAGTAACCGGCAGAGCGAATAGCTTGCTATCATCCTTATCACTTCCGCGTGGACTTGCTGTCTTCTCAGCCACACTCCGGCTAGCTCGATAGCTACTCAACCGCGTCCTTCGTCATCTGCCTATCTCCGCAACTTGCTATCTCTTGACTCTTTGGAGTTGAATCTCGGGTGAAAACCATGGAGGTTGGAGATCATGCTGAACCTTATCACTGGCAGTAAAAGCAAATTGGCGTGATTAGGTAACTTGTCGCATCCTGCACAACCAGTGTTCGGGTAACCCCACTCGTGTATCCTGACGTCTATATAATGTGTTACATATTCCCCAGGCGCACAGAGCGTCTCGTTCCATTTGATTGAGCGATCTTTTACTCTTCAAGATGGCAGGCAGATCCGATGATCTTGACATGAGACCTGTCCCAGGCACCGTCCATCTGGTGGACCTGGACCACAGCATGCACACGCGCCATGCTGAAGATGGAGACATCATCCTGGATCCAGCACCCTCGAGCGACCCAGATGACCCGCTCAATTGGTCTCCACGCCGCAAACTCATGTCCACTATATGTACCAATCTGTGCGTGCCCATCTGTTAGGCTTCTATAGCCAACTACTGATCTTTTCCGTGAAGATATACTTGGATGACTGGTATTGCAGTATCAACAGTGTATTCTGTATTAGTGCCACTTTCACAGGCTTCTGGGGTTTCTGTTTCAACGCTGAATGAAGGCACTGGATATATGTTCTTGTTTCTTGGATGGGGACTCCTCTTCTGGCAACCGTTTGCTCTGCGGTATGGGAAGAGACTGACTTTTTTGATATCTGTTCTTGGAGCCATCGGTACCAGCATCTGGAGGTAGGAAAACCATCATTTACGCTAATTTGGCTTCACTGACCGTTCCAGCGCTTATGTCAAGAGCAATGGCGAATGGATAGCCCGATGTATCGTAACAGGCTTCTTCGTCGCCCCCGTAGAAGCACTCCCCGAGATCTCAGTAACCGACGTATACTTCACTCACCAACGTGGACTCTACATGGGCTTCTACGCTTTCTCACTCGCAGGAAGCAACTACTTCGCCCCCATCATAAGCGGCTTCATCTCCGAAGGCCAGGGCTGGCGATGGGTTTTCTACTGGCCCGCCATCTTCCTCGGCTGTACCCTCATATTCCTCTTTCTCTTCTTGGAAGAAACAAACTACGTCCGGAAACTCGACGGCATACCTATCCAAACACCCAACTCACAACCTCCCCAAACCGGTATACTACCCGACGAAGAAAAGGTCAAAGCAGCGACTGGACAAACGGCCGCAAGCGACGAAATCCAAACATCTACAAAGACGTTCTTCCAGAAACTCTCCCTTTGGCAGCCCACCCCCGGCACAAACATCTTCGAGCGCGCAAAACGCAGTCTAATGTACCTCACCTGGCCCGTGATTTTCTACTCGGGCTTCAGCTACGGATCCTACCTCATCTGGTTCAACGTCCTCAACGCTACGACATCCATTATCCTCGGAGGCCCAGGTTACAACTTCAAGCCCTCGATGGTCGGTCTCAGCTACGTTTCGTGCTGTATCGGGGTCGTAGTTGGCGCCCTTTTTTCCGGCCGATTCAGCGATTGGCTGACTATCAAGCTCGCGCGCAAGAACAACGGTGTCATGGAAGCGGAGTACCGGCTCTGGCCTTTTGCGCTGTGTTTGGTTATGGTGCCTGCTTCCCTTATTCTGTGGGGTGTGGGAGCTGCACATGGGGTACATTGGTTTGGACTTGTGTTTGCCATGGGATGTCTGGCTTTCACGTCGGCGGTTGGAGTTACGCTCAGTGTTAACTATATGGTTGATAGTTATCATGATATCAGCGGAGATGCTATTGTTACGGTAATCTTGATTCGGAACACGATGTCGTTTGCGATTAGTTATGGGTGAGTCCTTTTCTATTTGCTCATATACTCGGAAGTGTGAGAGAGGATGCTGACTACTAGGAGTATCACACCGTGGTTGAGAAACCTCGGATACCAAAATTGCTTCATTTCTGCTGCCTTTATCGGAATGGCTGCTTCGTCGATGTTCCTGGTCATGATAAAATATGGCAAAGGTATCCGAGTTCGGAGTTGCAGTAAATACTACACCATTGTTAAGGCTGAAAGGACCTCGTTGTGAGTGGTGTACTGTCACGGCAACACAGCAATGTTTAGAGGAATTGCCAGTAAGAAAATTCAAAGACTTAAAAGTATATTCGAACACGATCTCATCAAGGCATAACTAGAAATATACAGCGCTCATCTTATCTTACAAGACCAACAGAGCAAACAGCGCTAAGCCACCAAGCTGCGCCGCCGTCCTAACTGGAACGCTAGCCTTGCCAGCTGCGCCCTCAAACGGCACTAGCGTACTTGAAGGCGCAGCTCCCGCACCAGTACCACTCGCCGATGCTCCCGTCGCTGCTGCTGGTGCACCACTCGCCGATGCCGCACCTGCTCGTCCATCCACGTGAAAGTAATTCGCCGCAAGAGGAGCGTCCACACCGTTTTCCGACATGAAAGCCTCGATGTCGAAATTGATGCGGTTTTGCACATTGGCATAAGTCGATTCAGAAACGCTGAGGCTGGAAGGTTGCTTGAACAATAGCTCGACGTAGCGATGCGGGACTGTGTCGACTGGTGGAGGGTTGGGAGGAAGATATGCTGCCGGGCCTGTTTGGGATGATGCGAGAAGTTTGGCTGCACCGCTGACTTGCTGCCTTGTTGCTCGGAAGCCCGTGTTCATGCAGTGCAAGAGTACGCGGCGTTCTGTGGTGCCGTTTGCTGGTGGGACATCTAGGTCTAGCATGATGAACATGTATCGTTCGTCCATGTTGATCAAAGCGCTGGATAGGGCAAGTCTGGGCTGGCTTGCAGCGGCTGGCTACAAGTCAGACGCTGTTTCTAGTAAACAACACGGAAAACTTACCGGCTCTTGGTATTAATTGGCCTGGGGTGTCGATCATTGTGGAGTTGAACATGACCTCGAGTTTGTTTGCAGCCTCAGGTGTGAAACCAGGCGGTACCTGTGCCTGTACAAGGCCAATAATGGCCATAGCCAATATCGATGTGGAGAAAAACATGATGTTCGTGATATTCGGGGGAAATATGCAAAATGGGAAAATAGTCGTTTGAGTAGGTAAAGCGGAGTGGTATCTCAGTATGAATGTGGTCCTGCAAGCCTAATGGGAGAATGTCTACCTTAATATACAAAACAGGCATACGCGGCCCCAAGGCAAGAATGCAAGAGCTGTGCCACAGGCTGTCGCACCGTGATCAATGCATAGGGCAGATGATGTGCTCACGAAGGCTGGTTCGCGTATCCTTGAAACGGGTACTGCACGAGGGCCCAGGTGTCGCATCTTGGCAAAAACCACATTGCATTCCCGAAGTGTATCAAAGAAGCAATGAGCAGTTACTACTTAATTGGGTAATCTATTGCTTCTCCTGGTGAGGCGTTCAAGGTAAGAGTCCAAGGCACATCTTGGCAGTCAGTGCAAAGACTGGGTCATCAGAGATGCGATAGGATTTACGCCCCGTCATGGTGTATGTCAGCTTATCCAAGATTCCGGACCAAGGCCTTGTCCTGAACGGTTGCGCAAGGCTTGGAACCAGTATGTTGAAGGAGAGACAAGTCTCAGCATGGCTGGTTGAACGTTTCTTGGTTCGTTCGGGTCTCCATGAGGCGTCCCGGGCCTTGCCTTGCTCAGCTCTTCGGCATATTGATGTGCAGCAATCGGATGCAACAATCGACACCCGGGGCGAAAAAAGACAGGCTAATTCCAGGAAACGGACTGCGGCATCGAGGACTTCGCCCAAAGATGTGGATACTCGGGCAATGGGCCTGTGCGATTGGTATTCGATGCGGTCATTATTCGTTAGGACGTGGCATTCTTGAGCTGAAAATAAGAACGAATGTCCAGAACCGTATTAGTGACGTTCCCAGAGGCGAAACCAAGGAGTTTGATGATGAAGCTCACAATGGCATTGCGACTGCAGGTGATAACAGCGTACTCCAAGTCATACGTAGTGAGAACAAGGTCAAACGCGCTAGCCAACACTCACGTGATAGCGCGTACTACATGACAGTCTGTGCTTCCTAGCGCCTATGGCGGCCCTACACCCCTCACGATCGCGCAGCCTCCCCATGCTTTCTACGACGATCCACCGCAGCAGGCGGAGCTCACCGAGTCTGCTTTGGAGTTGCAGACGGCGTCTGATGGCCGCTCCCGCCTCCACTAAAGCTGAAGCCGCTTCCACTATCAAATCAGCAACTTCACAATGGCCACTTTCCTTCTCCCTGCAATTGCCCAAAGCACAACCCACAACCCTCCGATCAAATGGCTTTTCTTCAGATCGACCTGTGCCACCCTTATGGTGGAGCCACCGCCTTTACCGGGGACCGGAGGGCAAGGAGATTGAAATCATGTATAGCAAAACAAAGACAGAGTCGGAAGCCATTGCTCAGCGATTTCTCGACGAGCCTATTCTTGGATTCGATATGGAATGGCCTTGGGGGTATTGGGTCGAAGACACTCTGCAAAATAAAATCGGTCTAATTCAGGTTGCTTCTGAAGACAAAATCGGGCTGATCCACATCGGACTCCATCCAGGAAAGACAAGTAGGGACATCATCGCGCCTTCATTGAAGAAAATCATTGAGGATCCAAATATCGGAAAAGTAGGGGTTAACATACTGAAAGCTGATTTCTCAAGATTAAGCCAATACTTTGGGCTCCAGCCGAAAGGTGCCATTGAATTAAGTCATCTAAACCGGCTGGTAAAGTTCGGGCCTCGCAGACCAGAGTATGTAACCGTCAAACTGGTGAGCTTGGCACAACAAGTGGAAGAACAGCTCGGTTTGCCACTGTACAAAGGTGATGTGAGGACAAGTGACTGGAGCAAGCCGTTGTCAGAAGAGCAGATTGATTATGCAGCTGGTGACGCTTACGCCGGTTTCATGCTTTACAAATGCATGAATGCGAAGAGACTGTCCATGAAGCCGACGCCACCTCCACCGATATATGCGGAAAGGTACCCAAGCGGGAGAGCTTCAAGGGACGATCCAATCCTTTTAGATGTTGGGGATGGAACAACTATCACAACAGCGGAATTTTTTGGTGTCAAGCCCGTAAAGAGCAGTTTAATATCAACAACTTCTAAAGCGCGGAATACCGAAAAGATCTTGGAGCCTCTTGACGAGACCTCACAGGCTCTTTATGATGAGCTGCTTGTGCGTCGAGCACTTCTTGCAGAAAAGGGAAACATACCGCCAACGCGTGTAGTTTCCGATGTTTTGCTCCGGGCCATTGCACGGGCACGTCCCCTGGATGCACCCGCTCTACTTGCAATCAAAGGTGTAGGGAAGGTTCAACAGCGGAATTACGGAGATGAATGGGTCCAGGTCATTTCGAAATTCCTGACAAAAAACGGTATCGAGGAGTCAGCCAGCACCGACAAATCTTCACCGTCCAAGGAAGAGGAAGCGCACATTCTCCGAATCCCACGCCGTATCCAAGTGGCTCGTCGGGTCTTATCAGACTTGTATTCGCCCCTTGCTTTCGACGAACCGCCACCAAGGGTGCCTCAGCTACATACCGGTTTATCTTTCACTCTGGCCGAGTCCAAGCTTGACGCTCATGGCACCGCTCTTAAAGACAACGAGTCAGATTACGGCTCCGACAACTCACTCATATCTCTGGAATTTGGCAGCCCAAGGAATCGGCGAGAAAGCTCTGGCACAAAGCGCAAGTGGGCCGAGAGCCCAACAAAGCAGAAACACATAGACCGCAATGTTCATGAACCCCATGAGACATTACCGTACCTTAAACCCTTGCATGGTTCAAAATCCGCTCCCCTCCTTACTAGCCCCACAACTCGTGCAAGACAAGAGAGGAACTTTTCCCAAGAACCGACCATATCCCATGCGCTTTCCCTCGCAGCAAGCAGACCAACACCTTCAAAGTCGGAGCCTACCATCCGAAAGAGCATATCCCATGCTCCTCCAAAACAAGCACCATCGATATCCGATCCCAACCTCAGCCCTTCTTCCCGCATTGCAAAATCCAAACTCCTAGCATTCAGCAAACTCGTCACGAGCAAACTCCCAGAACGCCGCCCAGCTACCGCTCTGCCCATCGTCTCGCCGCACACGCTAGACTTGATTGTACGTGCGCGACCACAGACGCAGGAGGAATTGGAGCGGATACCGGGTGTGGACAGTTTGCTGTTGGCGTGTGAGAGGACAGGCATAGATTTGTTGAGGAATGTGGTTAAGTTTGTGGGGGCTTAAGAGCTAGAGTAGTATGTGAGGTATGGTTGGAGTCATCTAGCATTATTGTATGTAGAGGGTAGATAGGTCTTAGAGAAGTCTTTTTTTCTTCATCCATAACCGTATGTCTATGGTTAAGGACAGTTTGTGGCTACTAGCTGACACTAGATACATAAACGAACTTTTGTATGCTGTTTTTATTATGTCCATCGTTTTTGTTTCTCAGTCAATCCCAACTGTGCATGGAAATTCAGTCCATTATGGCGCGTCTTCTGATATGACATCCATCCATACCCCATAGGAGCATTTCCACATACGGTTGTAGCCCCCAAACAACCTCACCATTCCAGGCACATGGCTACCGGTGTTCTGGGCCGTCGGCTGCTTATGCAATCCTCGGGGAGGTTTGACCGACGCTACTTACTGGAAACAAGGACAGGCGGATATGTACCAGGGCGTGAACTTCTTAATGCTCACGTCAGCCCATATAAGAAGCAATGATATGAATTACCTTTGCACAACAAGGGCAAAGGTTGCGTTGGTGTTGCAGAACCTGGGCATATAGCCGTTGTGCTCAACTGGCTCTCCTTTCTCGTTCCGCACATCTAGTACTACTAGGCGGTGTGCTGCGGCCGCTAATAGTACTGACTACTACGGCGATCCAATCTTGACTTGCCCACCAAAAGGTTGATCTTGATTGATGGTTTGACGGCTATAGTGGAGGATCTCCGACGGTACCGGATGGTCGGCGATCGTGCACAGATCGACTAGGAAAGCTTGTCAGCGACATGCAGTGCTGCGTTGTTTCACCCAACAACGCTGCTGGGGTCCACCCCTGTCGACCGGCCGCTACTCACACATATAAGTATGCTGCAGGCCGTGCCGCCTAACCCATGGATTCAGACGTTCCACCTCTGATTCACCATCAGATATAGTCAACATGGGAGGGGAGGGATTGGGGCTGTACAGCCTGTTGACGCTTCCGCATGTTGTTGTTGCTATCGTCACGTACTGGATCACCGCTACGGTCTACCACTTTCTCACCGCACCAAAATTACCTGCCGGTGTGCCATGTATGGGCTACGGGACAGGATGGATAGATGGAATTCGCAACTTTTTCGCCGTCACGAAGAGTAAAGAATGGGTGGTTGCCGGATACCATCAATACAGCCGCAATGACCAGGCTTTTGTGTTACCTCCCACGCTGGGTATGCCACCTGAGATTATCATACCGAAAAGCCAAATGGCATGGATGTATGACCTACCTGATCATATTGCCAGTGCGAGCGAGCCTCACTACGATATGTTCAACGGCGACTGGGCGTTTCTCGACCCCATCATTCTCAAAGATCCATATCACGAACATGTCATTCATAAAAATGTGGTCCGAAATCTAAAAACAATCATCCCAGACCTCAAGAATGAGATACCACAAGTTGTTATGGATGTATTCGGTACTGACACGGAGAACTGGATCAAACTGGACGTAATGGACACGTTCTCCAAGGTCATCCCTCGTCTGTCCAACTTGCCGATTGTTGGAAGCCCTCTATGTCACGATCCCGATTTTAACAAAGCCGCTTCGAGCTTCACTATGGACATTGTACGCATGCAAATCCTGGTAGTCGTCACGCCCAAAGCCATCCTGCCACTCGCCAGTGCATTTCTAAGTCTATCAAACAAATACCACTTCAGGCAAGCATCCCGCTTCACCCTCCCCTTAATCAAACAGCGCATCGCAGACCTCCAAAAAAAGGACGCCGGCCATCCTGACTACACCACTTGGACCGAACCCCAAGACTTCTTCACATGGACCTACCGCACCGCGCAATCCGAAAACCGTCCGGAGGAAATGCATCCAGACCGCATCGCCCTCCGCACAATGGCCGTCGTCTTCGCCAGCCATACCACCGTAATGTCAATCTACGACTCCATCATCAACATCCTGCACGACGGCCAGCACACCATCCGCCTTCTCCGCGAGGAGTCGCACCGCATCCTCCGCGAAGAAGGCGGGCAATACACCCGCCAAGGCCTCTCCCGCATGCACCGCCTCGACTCCGCCATCCGCGAAGCCCAACGCAAATCCCCCATCGGCCTCACTCTTTCCACACGCAAAATCGTAGCCCGTGACGGCGTTACAGCACCCGATGGCACGCATTTCCCGTACGGCACCCTGCTGGCGTGCCCCTGGATGCCGATTGCGGGCGACGAAACGATATACGAGAACGCGGGTGAGTACGATGCGTTTCGGTACTCGCGGCCAATGGAGGAGTATGCGCAGTTGTCCGAAGAAGAGAAGAAGAAAGTCGATGTGTTGAGGATTAAGCAGAAGGCGTTGGCTACGACGAGTTTTGATCATTTGCAGTTTGGCCATGGGAGACATGCTTGGTACGTTTATCCTCCCCCCACCGGTCTTTTTGAAATCAAGTCTCGGGAAGGTGAGGAGAAATGCTAATGCAAAAGTACAGTCCTGGTCGCTTTCTCGCTGCGCACCAACTCAAAATCATACTCTCGTATATGTTGCTGCATTATGACTTTAAGCCTTTGGCTGAAGGACCGAAGATTCTGTGGGTTATTCGGTATCATGTCCCGCTTCCGGTGCAAATTGAGACGAGGAGGCGCAAGGCGGTGTGGACGCCGGAGGACGACTGAGAGGGTAAGAGGGTTTGGTGGATGTAGGTTATGAGAAGATGTTTTGGGTTTTTGCTTGGGGAGAAGGGATCAAGATGCCCATGTCGACTGCCGGAAAACTTTCGGTTATGAAAAACCCATGGCACTTGGGAAGATGCAACGAATCTCAAATAAAGAAAAAAAAACACATGACAATAAAATCGTTAATTCGAAATTTCAAGTCTCAATTCGAAGGAGATAGTCGGGGTATCTACTTCATGTCGTGTCTCCATTAGTCTTCTTCTCAGTACTCGGTTCCACCATGTCTTCCTTTCCCCCTTGTTTTGTCTCTATTTCTTTGGATTCAGGTTTTGGCTCGGCCTTTGGTTCCGCAACCGTCTTACTGACTACCAGGCCGATGAGATGGGAACCGACGTTACCCGCGCCATCAATCGGGCCAAGCTTTGCATCAAAGAGTTTTGCTTCACGTAGTAAACTGTGATAGTGTGTCAGTAAATAGCCATATCTGCGGTCGACGACTCAGTTTTGATTACTTACCGTGCTTTCCCTGCTGCCGTCTTAACAGGCGCTTCCTTGATGACTTTACCGACTTGCTCCCTATAGCTTTCAAATACTGGACCCATGATCATGCGGACCTGGATCTCGCTCAGGTACTTGTTGATGACCTTGTGCATAGTAACTGTGTCTTTGGTCAAGCTCTCCATGCTGGGACTGACATCTTTGTTAGCTTCAGCCTCACTGTCCCAGTCAACCTTTTTGAGACTGCGCATGTGTACCGTGGCGCGGCCTGAGAGAATATCTGTTAGCTTCTCGTGGATTTGGTTCTGCTGGTCGTGCAGCAAACGCTTGACGTTGTCGAATTCGCCAAGAGATGACTTGTTGCTGGCAGAGGCAATACGGCGCCGGAAACACTCGCGGATGTAGGGAAGAATGGCGATTATAAAAGAGAGGGTTTGGGAAGCAATGGCAAGGTGCTTGGTGTTGATGTTCTTAAGACCAGCAGAATGCATGGCCCCGGCGCCAAGAATAAGTTGGCATAGGCGTGAGTTGAAGAGCTTGATGTACTCGCAGAGCGAGGCAGCGACTTCAGAGGTCATGCTTGGCATGACGGAGACGAGGATCTCGAAGCGTTCGATTCCCCTTATTACGACACAAGAAGACGAGGATATGGTGTATTTTTCCTCATCCACGATAGCAGGCACAGTAATCTTGTTCTTCTCCTTTGGTTTGTCTTCAAAGCTGCCATTAGTCTTGACAGACGTGCCATTTGTGGTCGGTTCTTGAATCTCCTGCAGGATGTTACCAGTCTCTGCCCAGCTCGGGGGATCACTCTCCATGCCCTTCAATAACCGCGCAAGAACCTCTGTGTCCTCAGCATCAAAGTCTTTTGGTTCCCAGCGATCCGAGTCCATGGCTTTCGCAAGCTCCTGCTTTTCAAAGTCTCCAAATTTGGACACGAAGTCGGTGATGTGTGTGTTAACCACGCCCTTCAATGCAGCACCGGATCGTCCAGAAACTGCCTCACACTCGTCGGCAAACAGCCTGCACATGGTGAAATAACGAAGGAATCTATCGAGTGGGAGGTTTGCAGTCGCCTCCGAGCGGACTCTTAGCAGCTTAGTGATCTGCGTCTGAGCAGCATCGACTGCCTGGCCCAGGAGGCTTGACATGTCCAGGGCCTGCATAATCTCCATTTGCAAGTCGGTGGAAGAGGGTGGTGGTACGCCGTTGCCCAGGTAATCATCAATGTTGTTTAGGTAGGAATTCCTAGGGGATAGTAGACCACCTGCAGAGACAGGAGGTGTGGTGACACCACTGGTTACATCGAGCAACACCTTGACCAAAGTACTCAGTCGACGTAGTGCCTCACCAATATCGGTAAAAATGTTTGCGAAGAAATCTTCTGCATCGCCAGGGTCCATAGCCCGCAGATTTCGTGCGAGAATCGAGTTCTTGTCTGCCTGGCTTTGTCCACGCCCACCTCTTGTTGATACAGATGCCATGGACCCAGTATCGTCGTCTGAGGAGCTTGGCAGATGTTTCCGAATGAGGATTTTCATCTCCTTTAGGACCGCTTCCCTGAAGGTTGTACTAGCTTGATTCGTGAACTGCGCTCCACTAAGGCCGTACAAGCTGGCTCGGAGGTCCGCTCGGAGCTCGTTTTCGGTCGACATGTAAGCAGGAAGAGTTGTCTTGAGCTTCTGGTTGCTGCTTCGTCCTTTCTGAGAGGCTGCGACCCATCTTTCCAACGTCTCCTGGTTCGGGACACGCTTGACATGTTCACGTATGTCAGTAAGTAAGGTGTCTACAAAACGCGCCTCGAAGCCTCTTCCGATCCGGAACTTGATCTCAGTCATGCTTTCAAATACGTCGTCCAAGGCTCTTAAAGGTCGTAAATCAATTAATTTTGGGGGCAGCCGCGTCTTCATCCATGAGGTCCCCTGTGTGTCGGTGGTGTCCAAGGCACCAGTAACGAGTCGTTCTATCATTTCGATCCGAGTCATGGCAGTCTCCAAGTCACCCTCAACGACAGCCTCGTCGCAATACGAAAGCCCGATTATTACAGCTTGGAGCTGGTCGACTGAGTCGGCCAGCCTTCTCAGGTTCTCTCTCCGCCTCTTCATTTCGACAACCTTCAAGCCCCCTACTGCCATCTGCTCATCCAATCTCTTCAAGTCTTCTCTCAGTCCTTTTATTCTGGCGACGGAGTCTGCAGCTTCGGTCTGCAGTTCGCGGAGTGATCCCAGGGCGGCAAAAAAGGACGTTGATGCCGTTGAAATTGCGGATATCAGATGCACTTCGACCGTATCCATATACCATGATAGCTTCTCCTGTAGTATCGCATTTGTTGCCAGAGCCTTCCTCCCTATCGGTTGTGGTACGTCCAGCGCGCCAGGATCATCGCTACTTATGCTCCGCACTGGTCTCACCACCTCGGATCGCTCGCTGACAACGTCAAAAGTCCGTGGATTCTCAATGTGGAAGTTTTCGTCAAAGTAAATATTGGGTATCGTAGAAAGCGGCGTAATTGCCGGTAAGGGACGCTTTGATGCGCTCGTTCGACGTTTCGGTTTCGGAGTGGTGTCTTGGCCAAAGGGCGCTGCTGCTAGGTTTGGTGTGCCAGCTGGCGAGGGAGCCAGACTTTCAGGGCCATCGTCTTTGGTGGATGCCCTCCTCGGTTGTTGTGCCGACTCACCAGCCTCTGCCTTTGCACGCTGAAAGGCATCGTAGAGATTGCCGACTTGGGTGAGATAGGGATTGAAGGCGGAGGGGTCGACGTGGGGGATGTGGGCGAGGGTCACGGGAGGTATGTCTTTGGTAGAGGGCGGTCGGTGGCTGGAGGTAGCTGTAGCGGTTGTATGGGGGACCATGCCGGTCCGCATGATGGGAGGAGTCAGAAGCGTCGAGATAGCTGAGCGGGGGTTAGCTATCCGCGCATACACGGACATGTGTCAGGGTATGTCTTCACCATTGTTGCTCTGCTCTCTCACGGCGCCCATGGTGGTCTTGAAGTTGCTGTCGAGTGAACCGCCGATGGAGTGAATTGAAGATGCGGTTGAGCCACGTCGCGGCTTGTAACGGCCGCCCGTCGAATTGGGCCTGCTTGTCCAGTCATGTTGTGATGGGGGCGCAAAGGAGCCCTGAGGAGGATTGGGCGATAGGAATTCGAAGCTTTCGGTCGACTTTCGTGAGGCATCGGGAGAGGACATGGTGGCGGCGCAGGTCGGGGGTGTTCAATCGGTAGCGGCATGGGGGAATAAAGAAGCCTTTATCGCATCTTGGTTGATATGGCGAGTACTGTTGAGCCTCTGCTTATCCAACATGCAGGGGCAAGGAAACGGCGCAGTCAAAGCAATATGACATCGAGTCTTGGTTCAACGTCGTCGTGACTGGCCAAAGTTCCCACGCGCTCGATGGTGACGGAGTGCATGGGCCCTGCAACTCCAACAGGGATACCGCAGCCGAAATGCGACCGGCCACATCTCCACCCGCAGCCCTACCCACATCTTATCTGACATAGTATAAGTACATAGTATAAGTAATCGAACCGGGTGAGATTGAGACAACTCTGCAAGGGCAAGGCCAGTTTCTAGACAAAGGCGGTATTGCGAACCCTTTTCTTGGCAGATGGGAAGATAGGGTCAAGTCCATTATCATAATGGTCCAGGCTTGCACGCAGATTACTACCATAGGTGCCCTTAATCACCTTCCCGCATCTGATATTCTCCAGCTGTCAAAACCAAACAGTCCTGTAGTTCCACAACTTGTCCAGATTGGTGGATTTCATTATGCAGCTTTTCCCAATCTGCGTGATACCTCATTGATACTCCAGGAAAATTGAGCGACCTCTCCTGCATTTCCTCCCAAGATATTTCTCGTATACACATACCTGATCCATCGTTTGGTAGGTATTGGCCCATGCTCGGATCTGACTGTGTATACTACATGAACATGGCAAGCTACGGTCATGTGACTTTTCATAACTTCATCGAAGCCATGAATCTCCCCTAATTTCAGTGATCAACATTGACACGACAAGCCCTGCATCCAACGAGCGAAGAAAACACTGCAAAGCATGAATTAATAGTCTGCTACTGGCCAATGACACGATCGCAAGGCTTAACCGAGGCGGCAGCAGAGAGGCGCAGCCATGCTCAGCCTTGCTCAGCCTGATGCCAGCCTTTTTGCCTAGTGGCCAAGATTGCATCTCGCTAGAACCCCTTGCCTTCCCATCTCTCTCGCATCTTCCTCTTTACATCCATCATCTATTCATTCTCAGCAATAACATGTCCTGATCTTTCAGATGCCTCTGCCTACCCAAACGTACCTTCCGTGGCAAATTAGCAGGACGAAATACTAGTCAGCCAGCCTTACCCCCATCGTACACACATCTCAAGCAACAGCACGCTCTCTTGTTATACAATTTTTTGATAACAGCCATGTCCGGAGTTTTGGAGAAAGCGTTGTTGCTGAAACCTGAGATACGCCTTGCTCAGGCTGTCTCCGAGTTCGAAGCTGACCTCTCAACCGAGCAAAAAGCCACATTCCGTACACTGAAATCGCAGTCACAATCGAATACGCCTGACCCAAGCGATGTCATGCGATTGACAGCAGAGATGGACCGCTCTATATCGATTAAATACAGCAGTCGATGTTTTGGGCCACGCTTTACCAACTTCCTTCAAGGTGTCCAGCAGTTTGCTGCGCTCGGAGATGTCGTGGTTGGGGGTTCGCAAAATTTGATAGCATGCGGTGTGTGGTCGCTGGTGCGCATGTCTTTACTTGTCAGTATCGTCATCATATGTTATCGCCAGCCTTCGCTGATGCGCCATAGTCAATCATAAGCTTGTCATCATACATCGATAAGCTTTCCTCGATGTTCATGGCCATTGGTCGCGCTGCGCCGCGTTATCAGGCAATGGCTCTGTTGTATCCTCGATCCAAGAAACTCCAATCACACCTTGCAGAGTATTTCATCTTGGTAGTAAAGCTCTGTCATTATCTATTCAAGTATGAACAAAAGTCCTCTGTCCGGCAGTTCACATCTTCACTGAACGATACACTCCTAAAAACACTTCAAACAGACCTTGACAAGTGGGCAAACTCTATAAAGGAAGAGGTGAATTTGAATGAAGCTCAAGAGAACTCAAGGTCCAGGGCTTTTACTATGGAAATATTTAAATCTAGCACGCTTCAGCGGAGACACGAAACCAAAATGCGAGTACTAAATTTCTGCTCCAAATTCGACCACGAAACAGCTTGGAAACAAATCAGGAAACTTGGTAACTCTTCGTTTCACACGCAAAGCGCAGAGTATCAAGAATGGAAAACTGGATCGCTTCCTGGAACAATAATTTTTACAGGCAAGCTAGGATCAGGGAAATCTGTGCTACTGGCCAACATCGTGGACGATCTCAATCTCACCACTGGAAAGGATCAGTCTACTGTAGCATATTTCTTCTGCAAATACGATATCTTGGGAAGCTTGCAGACACGAACGATTCTCGGCTCGTTAGTACGACAGCTGTTGTCTTCCATCCCGGACCTCGGAGCAATCGCGAAGCGCTACGAAAATTCTCAAGGCAGAGAATTTGATATCGAAGAGCTATTTGAAATTTTGTTTCAAGGTTTTACTTCGCGTCAGAAAGCATATCTCGTCATTGATGGCCTGGACGAATGCGACTTCGCGCAAAAGGAGATACTAATACAAGCCATTCAGAGAATCCAAGAAACACTCAAAGTCTGGATATGTACTTCTATTCGAGAAGAATCAAACAATAACCTACAATCAATCACCACAAATCTCCGTGCCGTACGCATCGTCTCGTTACCAGACGACAATCCGGATATCGAGGCTTTCATTGAAACGGAACTAGGACATTGTCTCAGCGAAAGAAAAATGACAATTGGCGATCCAACTTTGATACTGGAAATCCAGGATGCTCTCCTAAATGGCTCTCAAGGAATGTTTCTCTGGGTAGCTCTTCAGATACAGACTTTATGCAAAATGAAGACTGATTATGCCATGCGGGAAGCACTAGCAAATTTACCAAGAGATCTTTCGGAGACTTTTTCGAGAATCTTAAGTGATTCTGGACGTTCAGATCCATCGCTTCAAGCAAAGGTCCTGCAACTTGTCCTTGCAGCTAATCGACCATTGACGACGATTGAACTGCGCGAGGCTTTGAGCGTCACTCCTGGAGATGCTACCTGGGATCCTTCTAGGCTCTTGCACAATGTATACTCGGCGCTGGCTTGCTGTGGGTGCCTTCTTGCTGTCGACGAGGAAGAGTTTACAGTTCGATTTATCCATCACAGCGTCAAGCAGTACATTGTCGGTGGACTCAATGGCATTATGCCCGCAAGATTTACCCTTAGAGATGCGAAAAAAATCATGGCAAACATTATTGTCACGTATCTCAACTATGGCGTCTTCGGAACTGAGATATCGAAAACAAAAGTCCTCCCAATTATGGCACAATCCGCGCCATCCAAGATCTTACAAGCCACCTTGGACCCTTCTAGCAGTACACGCCACCTAGCTATGAAATTTCTCAAATCAAGACGGCAGCCTACCTTTGATTTGAGCAAAATGATTGCAGAGACGCTCAATTCATGTCACTCCGAAAGCAATAGCTCGTTCAACTTTTACGAATATGCAAATAAAAATTGGCTAGAGTATTTGAACCATGTATCGGGACAAGACGCGGCCATGTTCAAACTTTCTTCGAAGTTGATTCATAGTCGGGCATCCGCGGTCAACATCTCGGACGATGATCAGTGGGAGTTCATGATAGGTGCTTGCAATTGCGAGAACAGTAAAATTTTGGGACTATTCCTACAGCTTGGAAAGATCGACCCACATCAAAAGTTTGGAGAGGGTATCACAATGCTAATGTGGGCGGCATCAGAAGGACAGAAGGAATTGGTGGAAGTGCTGCTCAAGATGGGTAAAGTCAATGTGGACGAGAAGGGTATCATTCAATCCACAGCGCTCATGTGTGCAGCAAGAACTGGACAGATTGACACTGCTGGGATACTAATCATTGGTGGAAAAGCTGATGTCAATGCCAAGGATATGTTTGGAAACACGGCGCTAATGTATGCAATCTTAGGGTGGCGCAATGATCTGGTTGAAAGGCTGTATGGTGTTGATGCGGGGGACCGAATAAAATTCGAAACGTCAAAACCGGTGTCATCAGAAGAGCGCCGGGACATGGTAAAATTACTGCTTACCATTGGCAAAGCTGATGTAGACGCGGAAAATAACATTGGGTCTACAGCACTGATGACAGCAGCAGCAAACGGATACGGGGATTTAGTTGAAATGATTCTCCACTTTGGAGCTGATGCTAATGCGAAAGATTCTAGCGGACGTACAGCTCTCATGTGTGCGGCAGAGCATAGAATGAGGGATGCAGTAGAAATGCTGCTTGTCATTGGTAAAGTTGATGTTAATGCAACTGGTCCTGGGGGGGCTACTGCTCTGATTCTCGCAGTGATAAATGGAAACGCAGAGACAGTGGAAGCTCTGATTAGCATCGGCAAAGCTGATGTTAATGCTAAAGATAATCAGGGACGCACTGCTCTGATGTTTGCAGCGATGGATGGATATCTGAAGACAGTGGAAGCTCTGATTAGCATCGGCAAAGCTGATGTTAATGTCAAAGATAATCAGGGACGCACTGCTCTCATGCATGCGGCAGAAGATGGAAAAAGGGATTCAGCGAAAGCGCTGCTTGACACTGGCATTGCTGATATCAATGATAAAGGCGATAATGGAAGAACAGCTTTGGTGGAGGCGGTGATCAACGAGCACGAGGATATAGTTGAGCTGTTTCTTGGCACTGGGAAGATTGATGTCGATTCGGAGGACCAGTTTGGGACAGCATTTGATTATGCGAATTTACATGGGCCGTTGACCATAGCCAACTTGTTACAGTCATATAGTGCATCTTCTCAGTAAAATTTAAATTTTCGAGACCCTATCATTTTCAATTTACAAGAACATGATCGCTTGCACTTAAAACTAATAGCTTTGCACAGTGCTACAGTCGTTCCCTATATCTGTACATATTGTACACTGTACGTACACGATGTCTTCTCCTAGGAACAGTATCTATCAAATCCAGGTCTTACTATGTACAGATGTCTCACAACACGATGCGGAAGCTGCAGTCTTTGTCGCTCATGTTCGCTGCTGACATGTTGCGGGGTATCTTCAAAGAATACACCATGTGTCCCACAATCAGATCCTTGCAACCTCCGACCAACGTCTCGATTTCGTCCCTCAAATCTTTTGAATCACCAGCATGTGCAGCCATCAACTTCTTTTCTGCCTCCTGCAACCTCTCCCAGCTTTCTTCCACCATCTTCACGCACCGGTCAACAGCACTCTGTGCACTGCATCCCTCGTTCCACACCATGACTGGGATCGCGGAATCGATGTCGCCGTCGTCAATTTCTTTTCTGAGGCTCACAATGTCATTCCAAAGGAAATCACTGATGGCAACCTCACGCGTTATGGAAACCATGGCTTCGTGGTCCCAGACTGATGGAGGGAGTGTCAGACCATATGCCCATTGGATTACCGCGACGCAAGGGTTCGTTCCGACCGTCCTCAACCGGCGTGCAGTGTAGTCTTCGAGTGTGGACATGCCTCGGGTCCATGTAGCTTGTGAGACACGAACACCCATGACGAAGTCGTATATGGCTGCTGCAAACCTGTCACGTGCTTCTGTTGCAGGCGTTAGCTGACCCTTATCGACGGTCTATCAAACATCAAACATCCTACCTTTGGATTGACCTTCCTGCATGGCTCGACCCATGTTGACCCAAGGCCCACAGTTGTGCAATCTACCCGGTGCTGGTACGTCACCTTCAAGCTCTGGCTGCAGACAGTGCCTGATGAAATTGAGCGTGTCGTCACAATATGCCTCTGTCTTGTCACTATCATCGGTAAGCGTGCCACAATCAATCTCGTCATCCCAAAAGAAGAACTAAGTATCTAGTCAGCATGATCTCATGGACAAAAGAAGGTATAGTTCTTTACCCAGGCCACTAATTCTCCAAGGACAAGAAACTTGTCGCTCGAAACACGGGGCCAAAACTGCCCAGCACATAGCGCGTTGTCGACTTTTCTCTGCTTCTTTCTCACGCTTTCTGTACTGATGAACGTTTCAAAGTAACGTTCGAGGTGTTGCCTCGACAGCTCCACATCAGGATGTAAGTTGGCTTCCCAACCAGAGTATATGTAGTGAACATCTGGAACATGGATCTCTTGACCTCGTAGCCGGGCTATGATCTGCGCGCGGTGGTCTCCATGTTTCACTGGCTCATTTTGCGCCACAGATAGGTCCTGCTTCTGAACCTCTGTGCACTTTGCAGTATAAAGAGACTTGACGAGCTAAACACGTATAAGTATGGCAAAAGGTCCTGAGTCAACAACGCAACGTACCTGTCGAACATACGACTTGAACACCAAAGTCCACGAACCAGATATACTACTAATGGGCATACTGTCCAACGATGAAATTTCAATGCTAATAAAATAGATTCTATAAGAAGCCACTGATGGAATTCCGTCAGCGAGAGAAGACACGATCGAACGTCCTTCTATACATGTTCCGCCACTACCTCTTTCACCGTTCATATGACAGCTTATCTACTACTCATTTGCCGAGCTTTTCACCTACATAGTCAGACGCTCAAACGCTCATGCAATGCCCGCTCCATGGCGCCCTTTAACACTGCACTGCTAACACACCTGGCTCTCGCTCATGTGCGCCCCCAATGGCCCGCACCGCTCCCGTTGGCCAAACTCGCTGCGTGCCCCGAGTCAGCCCAGCCTCGCATGCTTTACTCAAGCGTAAGCGAGGCGTTTGGGCGCAGCCCTCGTGAGTGATATGCAAGGGTTATGTGTGGTAGTACGAAATCCCGTATGTCATTCTTACGCCCAAACGCCCTCCCTTCCTCCCCTCACTCTGCAGGCTGTGTGTCATTGGAAACGAGTACGAGGTTGCTATCTTCGCCTACAACCCCGTTTCTTGTCATTTTTTTAAGCCTGTTGTCTCTGGTTCGTCGGAGATGAGCACCGTTTCTTTGGCCTGCAGCCATATAGGCAGTTCGCCGATTCAAGAGCACAAAACTTGTTGGCTGCATGATATGCAGACATATCATGGACGTTTAACCTAGTGGCTTGCATGCTAATCCAACTAGAAGTGTCAAATCACACTCCTCAACCTTTTCCCCAATATCACAAGCCAATGGATATCCCACCTCGCCAAACACATTTCACCCTGACCAAAAAGAATAAGCAGATCGACCTCATTCCACATCCGTCCACCTCCCCTTCCTTCTCTTCTCGGACATCCACACAGCCCCAATCAAGGCATCCATGCTGTCTCTCGCTCCCATCGTATACATTCCAGCCAGGAAACCCAAACATGTCACTCCTATTAAAATAGCACCCATCGACGGAAATCACACACACACCACCTCAGCCGCAACCCTTGTACCACCATCAGGCCTGCCACCCGTCAAAAAGCTCCGCCCGTCTCACCTTACACTGTCCCAAAAAACGAGTCGAAAAAAAGAAATCAGACATTTATTCGTATATACGACTCCGTTTCTCGTTTGCGACTTGCTAAAGTGCAGTATCGTGCTACTTGCGCGGTACTTCGTCCGAGCTTATCAAATCGCCGCACACCGCTGCAGCAAAGCTACGCCGCACGCCCCCGCGCGCGCGTGTGTATGTACATGTACGGATTATGCAAGGGATGGGAAAAGCGCCAGCAAGCGAAAAGATGCGCGAAATACTGCTCGTAGTGCGGGATTTGTGGACAAGTAAAGCGAGGAAAGGATGGCGAGAGTAGCTGGAATAGGTATGTATGGTGTTGTTTGGGTTTTTTTGTTTGACAGGCTACTGTTTGTGTGAAGTTTAGATGCAGAGAGATTCTTGAAATACCTTTTTTCTTCTTCTACTGCTTCTCGAGGAACAAGAAAAGAGGCGGGGGGAAAGAAGATGAAAAAGAAAATTAACTGAGCGGAGTTATTTGATCGTATGAACTTGACCGTTGATATTTCATGCAACACTTATCCGAAAAATCGGGTTTGTTTATGGCATGCCATGTCGATGCGATCAAATCACATATTCACTATAGTCCGAGTGGCCGGCAAAAGTCGTCCAGAGGGCGTCCTCTATTTTCTTCCAAACGAACGAATAAGCATAAGCCACGCCACAACCTCACTAGAAAAAAAAAACCGTGATCTAATCAACAATAACCACAAACGCCACCCATTTTGATGCGTAAAAAAAAGACCCGATGGACTGGGACNCCCCCGAATGCAGTCCCTGCCAGACTCTGCTCTCGCCCACCCTACTCTTCTCGTTCCCCTATCAGTAACATGCTCACGACCTCTTCTTAGCATTAACATCCCTCCCGGCCCCGACCCTCACCTTCCCATTCTTCTCCACCCTCTCCCCCGTCAAAATGCCCGGTAGAAAATCCTCATCAAGCGCATCCCTCGCCTTCCTCCGTCTCCCCTCCTCCTTGACCTTCAAAAATTCCTTCTGATCCTCTGCAAGAATCAATTCTCTTCCCCATCCGCCTTTACCACCCCCAGAACCCTCCTTCCACTTGGTGTTTGCCGTTCCGGCAATGGGTTTGGGAATGCTATAGCGATCGCCGCGCTTGTTGTAGGTGTAAGTTTTGGAGAGGTGGATGCGGAATTCACCTTTGGCGTTTGTGCTGCAGGAGACGCGTTGGAGGGTGGGTTGGCCGCAACGGGGGCAGAATTGGCGCGTCATTTCTTTGGTGAGAAGGAAGCAGGCGTGGCAGCGGTGAATTTTGGAGGTTACGGTTTTGATGCGTTGGAGGGAGGGGGAGAGGAGGGTTAGGTTGAGTTGGAGGAGGACGTTTTGCATGGCGTGGTCCGTAGTCATGGTGGCGAGGTCGAGTTGAGGCGGTTTGGAGGCGGTTTGGACGTGGGGTTGTAGGTTTGAGTCTGCGGCTTGGTGTGCGGAGAGGTTGGTGGGGGTGATCCAGTCGCCGTCTGAGTCGGAGTCGGCGGCTTCGGAGTCGGTGGTGGGTGGGGTAGGTTGTTGGGTTATGGAGAGTGAAGACATTTCGTTCTCGAGAGGCTCCTGTGGAGGGGCTTCGGAAGGTTCTTGTTGTGCTGTGTGCTCTGGTGTGACGGCCAACTCTGCATTTTGCTCAACGTGGATGTTTGCGCTTGATACTTCGACTGCTGCCGACTTCTCGATAAGTCCCTGCTCACCGAGTTGCTCTTGGAGCTGCTCCTGAACCTGTTCTTGGACCTTCTCTTCCACCTTCTCTTCAACCTTTTCCACGGTCTGGCTCTCGAGGTTTTCTTCGCCCTTTTCCGCAAGTTGCTTGTGAATCTGTTCTTGAATCTGTTCATGGACCTGCTCATGAACTTGATCTTGAACTTGTGCTGCAACCTGCTCTTGAATCTGCTCCTTTACTTCCTCTTGGGTCACGGCAACCCCTCCATCATCTTGATCGTCGTCGGTCTGGACCTTTTCATCCTTCTCTTGTTCCTGGACAGCCTCACTCTCAACCTTCTCTTCCGCAGGCTTAAAGTTAAATTTTGTTGACTTGGGCGCCCTAGCCTTAGCAGCACGCTTTCCAGTCGGTTGCTCCCAACCCTCCTCATCCTCCACTTCACCACTCTCCTGCACCCCTTGCTCTTCTGCTCCCATCTCTTCCGCACCCTCTACAGCCGCGTTCCTCGCCTTCTCCGCCCTACGCCTCCGCTTAGCCGCAGATTTTGACAACACACCACTCTCCGCCGCCTCTTTGGCCAACCTCTCCCTCTCGGTCTTCTCGGCCCTTTCTCTCTCAATATCCTCAGGCCTCCTCTTCACCTCCCCCTTGGGCACTTCTCTGAGCCCCCAAGTTCCCCCATTCTTCTCACAATGCACCTCATACGCCAGGGCCAAGATGCCCAAATCCTGTTTGCTCAGTACGGCATGATCACCAGTCTTCTTGCTGAATTCAACAACAGCATCGTAGCTGGCTGGGCTGGGAGTTCTGATCTTCAAAAAGGGAACGAGAGTGGTTTGCACACGTGATCGGGTTGCTTCGTCCCGGACTTCGCGTAGGATGTCTGGGGTTGTGTAGAGTTCCTCGGCAGAGTTGATGAGGGTGGAGATAGAGATAATGTTTTTGATCAAAGGGCCCGTGTCAAGGACGAGTGAGTGAATGGGTTTCTGCTGGGTGGAGGATGTGGGTTCCATGGTGTGCGCTCTGAATTTCGATCCTTCTCTTTCTGCCTTCTATCCTGTATTTTGCTCTTTGGTGCGATGCGCACTCCCAGTTACTCGCCAGTCGCAGGATTTTCGATAGGAAAGAGTATATGACTAGGTCAAAAACGTTGTGCTGCTTGTGGGAAAGATTTCGGTCATTGTGGCGGGAAAACTAGTGGGGCGCAACTTTTTTTGGAGGGGTGTGTGAAAAAGCTCGTGAGATATGATTGGTCGGGCCCAATGACTACAGCACGATTACCAATGCCGATGTGTTTTGACAAGGATTAATGAATTGGTGTTTGTAGTTTGCAGTATATGCAGTTAGATATACTTGGGAACCAATGGTTAGTACAAAGATTGTTTTTTAGTCACATTCTAATTCCCCATTCAGCAGATGTATGAATGTAATGTTTCAGACATTCAACTACACTGCCGTATTAAACCATCTACTGCTAGATTATAACGCAGCAAACCTGAGTCTATATTGGTCCTGGGATGAATCTGCGATATCTTTAAACGCCGCCCAATGCTAAAGTTAAGTTGCGAGTCGTGCCCCAGTTCTAACCGACAGTGGTATACAGTAATCGTACATCGTGACCCTCAAACTCCCCATATTTTTGTTGCCTTGCTCAGAAATCTTTTATGTGAAAATCCCTTGATTCCCTCTTATGCGATAGGCTTGCTCTTCTCATCCTCTGGCATACGCATGTAGGCATCAATCGCAGCCGAGAAGACGGCAAAGCCTGCACATCCCACAGCCACAGCCTGCGGCCCAGCGTTTCTTGCCAGAATGCCTCCTGTTATACATCCTCCTGCAACACCGTTGTATAGATCGTTCTTTGCACGGAGACCCTCGATTGCGCACTCGGTACCCGAAAATATGGCGCCAACCTTGGCGAAGTTCTTACCAGAGGAGATGGAAGAGCGGTACATATCGCGTAGACCGGCACGGAGTTGTTGCTTCAGAGGGAGGTCGGTGATTGGAACGGTCCCTGCTGCAGTGGGGTTGGGCAGGGTGGCAGCGGCGGAGGAAGAGGATGCACTTGAAGCGACTGTCGAGGGTTTTACACCCGCTGCAGTTGAAGTGCTAGGTGTTGGGGTAGTTGGTGTGTTCATGGGAAGTGGTTGTGACATGGGTGTATCATATCGCATCTGAAGCATGTTAGACTGCGTCCTCTCTCACCTGGATGGAGATTGGAGACACATACCGAAGACATGAACAGTCCAAACATGGCACCCAGGCCTCCTCCCATGACACCAGCCATTACTGTCTTGCCTAGGCAAGACTCCATGCCCATTTGCATCTACAATTTGTGAGCTAGATGTCCGTGCTGCGTTCCTAGGCTGTCCATACCGCTTTCACCATTTGCTGTTCCTGCTCTGACATGCCGGCAGTTGGGTTCATGGATGCTGGCATCGCACCCGGGCCTCCTGGAAACGCCATGGCTGGTAATGCAAAAGGAGAAAAAGGGGGGGATCAAGAAAGTGTGGAGGAAAAAGATGAAGGTGGCTGTTGCTTGTTACGATGCGATTGCGATGCGCCGCCACTACGCAGGAACATTTTGCGGAGTTTAAGGCGGAGGACGGAAAATGCCGGGGTGTGGGGCTTGGCAATCCTCCCAACAGTCCAACTCTGTTAGAAAGGCGGTGGATGGTTGCACACAAGTACTCACATGAAACAAACAAGGAAAAAAAATCATCATTTTATCAATCTGCTCAAATTTGTTCATTATGCTTCTATCGACAATACATGTCTGCCCGAAGCTAGGTCTCAACGATTTATTTACAATTGCGCCAACGCCATGCTTTTCAAACGCTACTTGCAAAAACCGCCTACTACATGTGGTCAATATTGAATAATACACTGACGTGTGGTGGCGTGGCTTCATAATGCTGGATATCACTAGTGGGAATGTTACAAAACCCTTCGTTAATTCATGTAGTCGCCGTGGGCGTAGTCTTGGTTCCTCGACTCTGGGGGAGGCGTCAGCTGCTTCTCCCACTCCTTCATCAGATGCGAAGCCGTACGCTTCAGGTTGCTGGGCGAGACTTTTGTCATGTCAGGCCAGGTGATGGAAGAGCGCTTTTGTTCGCGGGGTACAAAGTCGTCTTGATTGATCGAGGTGAGCGACGAGGCTTTGGAATCATGGCGCTTGGCATGATATCTGGCGCTGCTGCTGGTGTTGGAGCTGTCTAGGCCGGAGATGGATGAATTGTGGGTATCAGAGTCGTCGGAACTGTCCTTGGGATCTGTGACGTCTACTAGGAGCGAGTCATTGGGGGTGTCCCAATTATCCCAGTCTTCTTCTGAAGCCACCTTGCGTATTTGCTTTTGTGGAGTGTTTGTGTTCTTGACTGCCTGCGTTTTCTTGTTCGTGGCCGTAGCTTTGGGGTCACTGAGGCCCATTTCCTTCCAGAAGTCATCACCAAAGGAGCCGGTCTGTTGCGTAGACTTTTTGGAACTAGCAGAGCGACTAAGTGGGGGGCGAGTTTCAGACGATTTGCGGTTAGTCTTGGAACCCTTGGCGCTAGCGGAACCAGAAGCAGAGTCGGTGGTGTGGACTGCCTCATCGCCAACGGTAGCCTGACGAATGTCTTCGATAAAAGTAAAGAGTCCCTTCTTGAAGTCGGTGGCCATTTGTGTGCCGGCACGGATGAGCTGCTCGCGCTGGATGGTTGGCATGCCACCCATGTCATAACGGTCATGCTCTGCGGGGGAGACTAGTGGGCGCGTGATTTCTGACGAAGTGGATGTTCGGGCAGAATGCAGAGGTCGCATGTTGGGGGATTGGTTGCCCAAAAGGTCGGCAGTGTGGGGGAAGGAAGGCGAGTCGACACGGTCCGGGGAGAGGAGCGATAGGGTGCGCAAATGGCGCGAGCCGCTGAAGACCTTGCGTTGTGCGGGTTTGGAGTGGCTGAGGAGGTTCTTCCTGCGCTCCATTTCCTTTTGCATTGACAGGCCCGAGGCATCGTCGTCGTCGAACAGGGTGGGCGGGGAGTTTGCAAGCGAAGTGTCCAGAGGTTGCAGTGGAGCCACTCTGCGCACCTGGTTGTGGCGCTTGCTGGCTTCATGGCGGGCCCAATGCGACTTGAGCATGTTCAGGTCGGCTTCTGCCTTGCTCAGCTCCTCCTTGAGCTCGAGCACATAGCGTTCCTGGGCGGCGAGAACGGCGAGAATGTTGGTCTCATGGGGCGTTTCCTGGGGCTCGGGCGAGGGAGTGGGTGAAGTGCCATTCATCCACGACTGGGGGCGCGTGCGTGTGGCAGATGCGGGCGTGGCTGCGGATGCAGTGGGTTGGATAGGGAACTGCAGCGAGAGGCGCTTGCCCTGGCCGACAATGTCCACCGTCTTTGAGCGGGAGTGCGCCGACATGGCTTTTGCAGGAGGTTGGGAGGGAGAGGCGGGCACGGAGGCGGCGTGGGCAGATGATATTTCGGCGTGGGATGACGGGTCTGCCCCTTTGTGGTGCAGGGTTTGTGTCTGTGCTCGGTCCATGGCAGGTGGTGGACCACGATCTGACAGAGGATTCGGCCTACGTTGCGTGGTTGCGAGTGCACAGAAGAGGGCTGGGAGATGAAAGCGGCGAGCGAGTCGGTGAAGAATAAGCGAGGCGGCGGCTGGGGAGCTGCCGTAGACTTCGAGGTAGAGGGCCAGAAGGGCTGTGGGCGGGCCGACCAATCGGAGCAGCAGCGAGCCTCTGAACCACGAGAACCACGATCTCAAGAGCGCTGGACCGGCCGTGGAGCGAGAACCCATGCCGGAGACATTGAGGAGCGCATTTGTGGCGGGCGAGAGAGATGTCAAGAGCAGACAGCGAGCATTCATCTCCGTTGCGCTGCAGCCGGAGCCGTAGTCTTTGAACCCGTGTCTCTCATGCGCTCACGAGCTCAGGCCACAAACAAGCCGGATTGGGAGCCATTTCCTGGCACTGAGGTTCCTGGGGGTTGCCTGGTTGCGTGCCCTTGTCCATGTGTAAGTAGAAGGAGTTGCATCGTCGCTCAACGGCGCGCTGGACGCTCGAGACTACATCTTTTGTAGCCGGCAGCACAGTAGGCGAGTAGTCGCCGCCGCCCTGCTGTGTCGTGGCAGCGCCTTGTGCACGACACGTCGAAAAAGCACCTGTTTGCATGCGCCGTGCCTGGCCATGCACATCCCCCGTGTCTGATAATGCCATGGACGACGCATCTATGGACGGCTTGCATTCGATTCGGGTGGATTCGATTGGATTGGCATCTTCGGAAATGAGGGGCCAGGCCACGTAATTCGACCATTGCGAGAGAAAAAAGAAGCCCCTAGCTGCAGCAACAGCAACGCTACTGTGGGCGTGCCTGTGTGTGTCTCTCTCCGTCCGTGTCCCGGCCGTCGTGTTGTTGCGGTCAACGGCTGCATGTCACGAGCGTATGTGTAGACCAAGCATTCATACACATGATGCCTGTCGGCTGAGGCTACTCGCGCCTCGTGCGACCAGCACACAGCCACTGCCCGTCCTGCCCTGAAACGCGCTGTCTGGCGAATGTGCTCTGGACCGCCCATCCCATGTGATGAGAAGTCATGGTTGATGCGCTGCCGCTCACGCTGCCCCAGTGAGGCGCCTCTTTGTCCTGGCAACCGCGTCGCCATGCTTTCTCCTCCACGCCAACCCAAAAAGCATCCCGCCCCGGCCCGCCCAAGGCCTGCCATGCGCCCGCACATGCAACTGGCAACCAGAAAGCCCGCCATGGGGGCTCAACGTTGATGCTGCCACCTCCGCTGCCACTACCCGCTGGCTGTGGAGCCTAGTATGCAGGGCGGATAGTAAGCCATCGAGATGGTGTACCCGCCGTCGTGCTGGCCAGGAACCCGCTGCTCTTCTTCGTCCGCCAGCCTGGCGCGAAGTCGCGTCGCGGCATTGGCTCTGCTAATTGAGTCGCATTGCAACGCCGTCATTCAATTTGGTTTTGTGGCGGCTTCAGCTTGGGTGCCCTGCGGCTCCGTGTTGGTCGCAATGCCAGACCAACGTCATGGTGGGGGGTTGTGCGTTTGTTGATGGAGGCGAGCTCGTTGCCTCGGCGATGGCAGGGCTGAGGACCCTGCGCTCCGGTGGATATACACCACCACCAACCGTCGCCGCGGACATGTAGTACCATCCCATCCCGCACCCTATTACTATCTGCCATTTCCTCCTGGATCCGCTCGCCGTGCGCGCCCTGCCCACGTCTCGCGACTTGTCTTACCGCTACTTCACCTCGCAGCTCACGACCACCCACAATGTCGCCAACCATGGCCGAGGGCTACCAGGTCATGGAGGAGCTTGGCAGTGCGTATTATTCCCTGCACTATCCACAATCGCTGACCATGCTACAGGCGGGAGCTTTGGCAAGGTCTTCAAGGCAATCGACAAGACCACCGGCGAGACTGTGGCCATCAAACACGTATGCATCCACTTCTACCCCGGCCGATCCCCCATACTCATCCCCGATAGATCGACCTCGAAGACAGCACCGAAGAGTTGGCCGATATCCAGGCAGAGATCTCGCTCCTGAGCACTTGTCACAGCCCCTACGTCACCGAGTACAAGACCAGCTTCGTCAAGGGCGTCAAGCTATGGATCGTCATGGAGTACCTGGGCGGAGGCTCGGCTGCCGACTTGGTACGCTCAACTACATAGCCTCCATCGATTTCTTGACTGACTTGACTAGTTGGCACCCGGAACTTTCAGCGAAGCACACATTGCCATCACATGTCGGGAACTTCTCCTCGGGCTCGACTACCTCCACTCGTCTGGCAAGATCCATCGTGACATCAAAGCTGCCAATGTCCTCCTCACCGACCAAGGCAAGGTCAAGCTGGCCGACTTTGGTGTTGCCGCCCAACTCACAAACATGAAATCCCAACGCATGACCTTTGTCGGCACCCCGTTTTGGATGGCTCCGGAAGTGATCCAGGAGGCTGGCTATGACTTTAGGGCAGATATCTGGTCCTTGGGTATTACCGCCATGGAGTTGGCAGAAGGTGCACCCCCGCACGCAGGATCGCACCCCATGAAGGTGCTCTTCACGATTCCCAAGAACCCAGCACCTAGGCTAGAGGGCGACCATTGGAGCAAGGATTTCAAAGACTTCATCGCTCAATGTCTGGTCAAGGATCCCGATCGACGTGCATCGGCCAAGGAACTTTTGAAGCATCGCTTCATTCAGCGGGCGGGCAAGGTTGAGGCTCTCCGCGAGCTGGTTGAGCGCAAACAGATGTGGGATGCTCAGAGGGAGCATCAGGCGGCATCTCAGCGCAAGTACTACGAAGAGACCATGTTAGTGTATACACAAATTCTCTCAAGAAAATGCTAACAGCTTGACAGGGTGGACTTTTCCGCCAAGGCGGAAGATGATGATGCATGGGACTTTGACACAGTCAAGCGCGGAACGGTGGCGCCACGACAAACCATGAAGCAATTGCAACGGAAGCCCACTCGGATACCCACCGCCGTGGATGAGGCACAGAGTGGGATGCAGCGCATGGACCTCAATGCAGCACCATTGGGTGACGTCACAGAGTCGCCAGCGTCAACACGTCGTCGAACACCCCCTAGACAACAGTCTCAAGTCACAGCGTTGCGGGTTCCTTCTGGTAACACACCAACCGCCCGCCGAGTTAGCAACATTGGCCAGCCTAGCAACCTCAGCAACGTTACCAATGCCAGTACCGCCAGCAAGCAGCCACTGGGCGTAGACCTCACATTTGGCAACTCGCCATCGACGGTGCGGCACTTTAAACGTGTTTCATCAGATGAGCGTCGTGCTCCAGCACGCTCAAACAACACAAACGAACAAACTAGCCAGGGCAATCAGTCATTCCATCCAAACCCTGAAGCCCGCACTTTCCGACCGTCTCCACCAAACTCTAACCATCCGCTCGATTTCAACAATGAGAATGAGCCACCCAGTCCGGACAATGCGCACATGCCTATCACCAAGGATGCACTGTACGGTCGACGGGCTTACAGCAAAGTTTTAGATTCGGTATTCCAAGAAGCACACGCAGACACTGCATCGCCTCGTCAGCGAGATGCGATTGGTCGCGTCGCTCAGGCATGGCAGCACCTCGATGAAGTCGACCCACATGGCGAGTTTATGCTTCTCAAGAATATTGTTGATCGTCTGAAGAACGATGCAAAGCTTGCTTCAGCACTCGGCATCCAAGTCTCGTCATCACAATCACCCTACAGGCACAACACCAAGACCAGCGAAATCAGCCTAGGAGGCACTACTGTACACGGATCAGGAACCAGTCGAATCCGCCCCAGCACTTCAAATACATCCATCTCAACAACAGCTAGTAAAAGTTCGGAAGATTACGAGCGCACTTGCTCTACACCAGCAACGCCCATGAGTGGTGGCTCTCCGACCAAAGCACTAAAACCCGCAAAGAAGTCTCCGCAACTCAAATCCCACAAACGCCCCCAGAGCGCACTTGTCGTTGGCGAAAAGGGCTTCGGTGCTGAGGCTCTTGGAGCATTTGACGAGAAGAAGCTACCAGGCTACGTCGAGCCTGGTATGGAGCAACAAGCGCTGCTTGCTGACATTCTCTATGGCCAATGGACTCAAGGTTTGCGTGCCCGTTGGCCCGTTGCGTAGACGTTTTTTTTCTACGCGTCACAAGTAGACGCTAGACTTTGTAGATGTCTGTCTGGATTGACTCTGTCTTGTCGGATCCAATTTTTTTTATTCCGTGTTTTCCTGGTATCATTTCCATACGGCATCAAATTGCGGAAAAAAGCGGCGCAATCTTCTGTTCCTTTTGGCGTAGTACGACGGGAACTCGTTAACGACTGATGAAAGCGGCTCATGACTCTGGGTTATGAGATGTAACGAGGACAAACCGTTGGACTGCCCTGGTCAAGGCATTTGTTCAGGTGTTTTTTTGTTGATTTTTTTTGGTTCACGAATGAGGCATTCGAATAGCGACAAGGTCATGATTTCAGCTGTTTCTTTTACTGTATAACCCAGATTTTTAACTCTTTTCTAATTAAAATGCCGGTTCCTGTCATTGTAATTTCTTGCTGTCTCTCTTCTGTACGACGAGTTTCGATCTACGGTGGCTAGGGTTAAGCCAGTACTTTAGCTCAAATCGATACAGCGGGCTTTGCCCCGCCCCCGGATAATAAGTTCCACTTGCTCCGTTTCCCCATACTTATCCTGTCCTGTTACAATCATCCCTTCTGTTATGGCTATAGCAACAGGTGACAAAAAATGAAGCATCATCTACTACCACATTCTACATCACAACTCCAACTCTCCAATCGGGGAACTACAACACATCAAACGATGCAGCAGCCTCATCAGCGTCTATCTACGTAACAAGTACTATATGGCGCAAAAAAGAAAAGACGGCTTGCACCCACCCAATCGGAACCCCTCTTTCTCGCGCCCGCTCTCCTCCTTCTCCAACCGTACTACCTTCCGCTTACTCCAACGCTTTTCGCAGTCCGTACATCCTTGCCGAGGCTCCATCCCTGCTTCCACGCTCATCCGGCAGCCTTGCTAACGCCAACATGTGCATAAGCCCACGCGCCTGATTGGCTTATGAATGTACGAGGCGGAAAGGCCGACGTACTTATCACAAAGAAAAATATGATGCCGTATTGGGAAAGGGCAGTGGGGTATAAGAAGGTGGGCTAATGCAGTCAAGCTTTTTTTTTTCCTACATTAAACGGTGAGAGACAGAAGCAACTCAGCAGGGAAAAAAAAGCTTGGTGTTGCTTGTTTATGACTTAGATTGGAGTATTTTTGAGCAGACCTTTTTGCTGTGAGAAGAGACGGGAGAAGAACTGAGGCTGGTAAGGATACAACGAAGAATAATGAAGATGCAGATGAGACGGACTGCTGTTGTTGCGCTGGTTGTTGTGGGGGTTGGTGCGGCGCCGCCGTCTCCAGCGACGACGACGGTTTCGGCTGCGGAGGATGTGGGGATGAGTACTATGGATGTATATCCGCCTTCTGGGAGTAAGTTTTCTTGCTTGTTTTGACTGAGAGGAAAAGATTCTAATGGGTTGTGTTTTGTAGCTCAGGCTGATCCTTCGCTTTTCCCGCCCGAGTCGGTGGTTGGGTTTCCTGGACGTAAGTGCATTTGAGGACATGGTAAGAAGAGCAAATGTTGATACGAGATTTAGCGACACCGAGTGGAGTCGAGCCGAATGCTATCGAGACTGCGCCATTCTATCCGTATAATGATCAGGCTGCGTTTTCCTGGCCGCTGATCAAGCCCCAGCCGCATGGAACCGGGTCCCAGTCTCCCGACTTTGATATTTCAAAGCATTGGGGCAATCTCAGCCCGTGGTACTCGGTTCGCAGCGCCGATTATGGTTTGCCAGATGCTAGCCCTTTGATTCCAGAAGGATGCGATATTACGCAAATGCATCTGCTCTATCGCCATGGAGCCAGGTATCCGACCAGCGACGCCGCGCCAGCGACATTCGCTTCGAAGCTTGCCAATGCCACCAAAACAGGACTGTCGTTCTCTGGAGAGCTCACCTTTTTGAGCAACTGGAGGTACAAGCTGGGCGCTGAACTACTTACACCATCTGGTCGCAGCCAAAACTTCATGTTAGGAATCGAGTACCGCCAACTCTACGGCCACCTCCTCAACAACTTCACCGAATCCGGAAAGATACCAGTGTTTAGAACCGAAAGTGAAGATCGCATGGTCCATACAGCTGAAAACTTCGCCGCCGGCTTCTTCGGCGTACCGGAATACATAAACCAAGTCAACATCGAAATCCTCGTCGAAAACCCCGGCGTCAACAACTCCGGTGCCCCCTACGAAATCTGCAACAACTCCAACATCGCCTCTCGCGGCAGCATCGGCGACACCGTCGCCTCTGAATTCGCTACAAACGCTTTCAACGCCACACTCGCACGCCTCCAATCCCAAGCCCACGGTATAACCTTCACCCCCTCTGACGCAATCTCCATGCTCCAACTTTGCTCCTACGAAACCCATGCCCTGGGCTCCTCCCCCTTCTGCGCCTTGTTTAGCGAGCAGGACTTCTTGAACTACGAATACTACTACGATCTCGCCTTCTACTACGACAACGGGCCCGGCTCTCCCGTATCCGCTGCGCAAGGAAAAGGGTATCTAGACGAGTACATTGCGCGTTTTACTCATACGTTTCCTGCGCCGAATTCCGCATTGAACGAGACGTTTGATAATACCTCGACGTATTTTCCGCTTGATCAGAGTATCTATGCTGATGCGACGCATGAGGTCGTGGTGCTGGATGTGCTTGTGGCGTTTAACCTTACTGCGCTGTTCAAAGGGAAGCCGCTGAGTGTACAGGGAAATGAGGGTTCGAATACGTTTGTGGCGAGTAAGCTGGTACCGTTTGCAACTCATTTTACGACGCAGGTGCTGGAGTGTAGGGAAAGGGTGCCGACTAAGCAAGTTAGGTTTATTGTGTATGTTCCCCTTTTCCCCCTTTTCTTTGCACATCACTTCTTCCGAGCCTTTAGCTAGGGTCTACTGTTCGGAAAGCTGGAGATATGTTGCTAATGAATATGTGTAGGAACGACGCTGTTGTCCCCATTCACGAGTCCCATCCTGGGTGTCCCGAGGACGCGGATGGACTTTGCGCGTTTGACAATGTGGTTGAGGTGCTCAAGAAGAGGAGTGCAGAGATTGATTTCGACTATGATTGTTTTGCCAACTATACTGCTGTGCCTGGTATGGATTACAACGGCCGAGCACCAAGATAGCCAACTTCCCACCACCTAGTACCTAGCCCCTAAATATCCTCATCACCATCCACTTGAAAAGCTCAGGTGTCTCACTCGCACCAGCACACCTGTACACACTGTACATATCTAATATCATATATATTTACCCTGATTTTTTTTAAATACTTCATCTCATGCATTAACCCCCACCCTTCCGATCGATCCAGCCGACCCTCTACACCCTATCTGCTTGTATCCTATCCACATCCTCCTTCCTCCCCCTCCCCCTCCCCCTCCCCTCAAACCTCTCACTAATCTCAACCCGAAAGTCCTTTTGCACATTAACCTGCAAGCCATCCAAACTCGCCTTCTTCACAATCCTCTTCTGACTCCCATCATCCCTCGCATCCAAGCTCTCCTCACTCCCATAATCATCCAGATCGCCATAAATCTTCGTCTCCACACCCGTGTCTTTAGTCTTGTTGCTGAGAAAATTGCGCGTACGACTCGACTCCGGGCGGTGCTGTTCTTGTTGCTGTTGGTGCTGGTGATCGTCGAGTTCGAGCCACATGTTTTTGGAGTCGATGGGGTTGCTGGCGGAGGGCCCGCCGGGGTGCGGTTTCTTGGAGCCCAAGATGCCGGAGGCGTAGGAGCGAGAGTTGCTGCCGGACCAGGTGGAGAAGCGGGCGATGGCGTGTTTGAGTAAGGGGTGGCAGGCGGGTAGGTTGGCGACGAACATGCCGACGTTCATTTCGGCGGTGGCCCAGGCGAGGATTGCGCCGAGGTTTTGGAGCAGGCGTGAGGCGTCGTTGAGGCCGATGAGGTATTTTAGTCGGACGATGGGGGCGATGGAGGCGCTGTGGGGAGAGTTAGTTGAGGGGGGCCGGGGGGACTGAGTTGAGTTTTGTGCGGCTGGCTCTGGATAGGATGGACTTACAAGATTCCGAGACCCAACATGGCCATTACGCCACCCTTTACGCGCCAGTCAAGTTGGACGTCCCAGAGGAGGAAGATGGGAAGCGTGGCGAAGATCCAGTCCGTCGAGATGGATACTACGGCTACGGCATAGGAGAGGATGGTTTGGGTGTTGCGCTCGCGGCAGTAGCCCTCGACTTTTGTGTCCCAGTTCTTCCTGGACTGTGTGTTAGTACTTATTTTCCCCCTTTGGATGATTCAGGACAACTCACTGCACTGGCATGCACTGGAAGAACAAGTACATGCCTGTTCCACCCATGATGATGAAGCAAGAAAGCATGCTAATGTAGATGACATATTCGATCCATTTCTTGCCGCTTGCAATTCGAATTAGAGCAAATCCGATACTGCACTTGATCGTGACGAGGGTAAAACACCAAGGTTCCTGGAAGACGTAGAACCACTGCTCACATAGTTACTATCTTGCTGACTGAGCGAATAGGGGGGAGGAGAAAGCATACCCGTAGGGAGTTCATGTATTGATACTCTGTAAGTGTGGCATCATATTGTCCAATACCACTCCATGCCATCCCAATGGTGGCAATCGTGCTTACACTCCAAAACGGCTGTATCAGTGTCAGTCAAGTTGTACGCAGGATTGTGGATCCAGAGAGCTCTTACAATATTGATCAACATGGCCCAGTCATCGGGACCCCACGCCTTTCTCTTTGTCCGTATCCAGAACCGCAGAATAGTAGAAATTATATCAAAAGGAAGCGGAACCAAGACGGCCAGAGCCATGGGATACGATGTTGGCGCCATGGTGACTACGTCTGTCTACAGGTTCCTCGAAGGTGAATAGAAGTCTCAGATGGGCCAGCCAACTGTTATGAACTGCGACGATTGAGTGGACTAGACTTATGGACCTGCAGGTCGTGGGGTCTGTGGAGAAAATAAAGGGATGCAAGGAAGTGTGCACAAGGGCAGTGCCTGAGGCATCACGTACGATATCTGTGTGCTGGAGTCGATTGATGCATTCTGCTATGAGCCGCACTTGGAACGGACAGCCCGTTTGCATCTCGGTTCCATCGCCCTGGTACCCCAACACTGTCTCGTCTTAGTCACATTAATCGCTCTGTTGTGCCGATCTCAAGGCCCGGAGTTGTGCCGTCGAGGAATTAGACTTGAGGATGGCCAACGGGGGATGCCGGCGCGGGATGTGCGCTAGTTTGAGCCACTGCCGTCCCTATAGTGCCGGCATTACGCGCGGCGGCATACATTCCCCGACCCACTTCACAGTGGACATTCCATACGAAACGAGCCTCACGACGGAAAGATTTTTCCCAGGCTATTCGCGAACAACATTTCCGGGCCAATAGGAGTTTCCTCCGCCTTCGTCTCAGGCTAGCAGCATCTATGGAAGGTGTGCCTCTTGTCTCCACGTCGCGAGCATCTTGCCCATGAATCGTAGCACCATGGGACCGGAGACATCGCTACATGTCTTATCACATTCCCCAGAGCTTATTGTCGTGATAGCAGGTGTATGCTTGCCTGTCACCATCGGCGGGCAGGGTGCTTGGGTGTATACTGTCGCCGAACGAGGTAAGTAGTTCGTACGCTTTTCCTTGACACCAAAAGCCCACTCGTCTCAAGGGTTACGTCTGCTTGCATATCTTCGCGCCAGCACACGTGCACGCGCAAGGCTGTGTTTTAGCATGCAAGACAGGATACCCAGGCTCCAGCCCGTGTGCTAAAACTGATTGACAGCCGCCCTTGCAAAGGGATGCCTTTGCCAAGGGATTGATGTGTTGCATCGGCACGTGTCAGGACCTTTGGCAAAAATATGCATTTCTCAGTCTTCCATTCTATTCGCGAGCAATTTTCCCTAGCACACAATCAAACTAGTCGTTGCTCGCAATATAATTCGACATAATCCCTCCCGAAAGTTTTCGGCCAAGAGTTGCGTTATCATCCTTGTCTTGTTAAGCAACTCACCACGGATTTTCTCATACGATAATTAGGCCTTTTCTCGGCCAATCTTCCCTTTTGCAGCCCCGTTGGAGTGAAATGAAGATCTTCACCGCCCCGATCGAGGCGAGACCGGACGCCCGACTCCACATCCGGGTTATACTAATCCGATCCTAGCCCTTACTCCAACGGTTTTATCAAGTCAAGGGTTCCCGCTGCAGTTACTAGACGAGGCTGTCAAGCGGAGGTTGATACTGGCTATTGCTACCGCTGAAAGATAGGTCCGATACTACATAACGGCGTGTTTCGTGCAGCTTTTCTCCTCTTTCCAATCCCCAAGTACATCTCCAACCTTGTTACATTCTGAGACTAAATCCATTTGACCCCTACGACACTTCTACCAAAAACCCGACAGTATGGCACCAGCAAGGACTATTGAAGGCACGACACCCGCAAGGGTGTTCGAAGGCAAACTTGCCATTGTCACTGGATCTTCAAGGAGTAAGTGTGACTTGACTGCAAAGTCACCGACGTCGTCTTTTTCATGACGATATGTGTCGTGAGATTGGGCGCTGACAGGCTTCCCCTCACTCTAGGTTTCGGCGCCGCGGTCGCAAAACACCTTGCCGAACGCGGTGCAAACGTGGTTATCAACTACGCCACTTCAGCTTCTGATCAGACTGCTGCTGATCTCGCAGCTCATCTGTCCAAAACATACAATGTGAAGGCGGTCCCTGTACGTGCTGACTTGCTCGATCCCTCGGCCCCTGCAGCTCTTGTCGAGGCCGCAAAGAAGCACTTCTCCGACCCCTCTGCAACCCCCAGCTTCCAGATCGACATCATCATCAACAACGCGGCACTTGTGAACTCCCAGCCCATCCAAGAGCTTGACGTTGAGCTATGGGACCAGACATTCAACCTCAACTGCAAAGCACCCGCGCTACTTATCAAAGCAGCGTTCCCTTACCTTCCCCACGATCGATCGGGCAGAATTGTCAACATCTCGTCTGCGACCACAACATGGGGTCTTATCCAGCAGACTTCCTACGCTGGAACCAAGGGCGCCATTGAGGCCATGACCCGTGTTTGGGCACGTGAGCTCGCTGAGCGCTGCACTGTCAACAGCGTCTCTCCTGGACCCATGGACACCGGTCTACTCAATGGGCTGCCAGAAGCCCCAAGGCAAGCACTGAGAATGTACAACGCTCTGATTCCGCTCGCCAAGGAACGACCCGGTGTGGACTCTGAGGATATGCTCAGGCTAGCGGGCGAGATTGGCGGCCGACCAGGTACTTTGGAGGAAGTGGCTGGTATCGTCGGAATCGCCTGTCTACCCGAGAGTGGATGGATGACCGGCAACCAGCTCGGTGCCAGCGGCGGTGGTGCCTTTGTACGATGATCTACCTAAAACGAACCATAAAGAAATGTAAAACGAATTTACCTTCCTCATCCCCTTTCCCTTCTTTCGAAGGGATCTACTTTTACTAGGCCCTTTGTGTTCAACGAGAAAATAGTCAGTCCTGCTGTTTGTCTCACCATCTTTTGCCGTTCAAGATCCATCTGCGCACTTCTCTTCCTATTGTTGATGTCAGCCCCGTCTGGGCGTCCTCTTTGTCTCGGGCCATCTTGCGGTCCCGCCAGCGTGGGTTTGTTAGTCCCCTACGTATTTCTTTTGCAAGGGTGACGTGACCTTTCAACATGTATATGCGCCTGTCATATACTCAACCGTTGGTCTGGCTCATTCGGTCCAATTGCGAAACAGACCCAGGATGCTTTCTCGCCTACGCTGCATCCTGGCGCAGTGTCGATTTACCCTTTTGAGACATCCCTTCGACTTTACCGACTTTTACCACTTTAACCCCCCTCGGGACCCATCGTAAATACAACTGTTGCTATGCTGACCTTGCTACTAGGATTTCTTCCACGAATCTAGTCGGAAATTTAAAATTAACCAACGGTCTTATTTTCCTGACACGTCGACAGCGGCAAACCCAGCAAACGACATCGACAACGGGGCCGCGGCTAACAAGGAACATAATAGCTCGCAACGTCCCTGCTTATAACACCCCGTTTTTTATTTTTGCTCCGCAGCCAATCATGGGGCTCGGACGGTAGAGCATCCTAAAGCAGAAAGACTTGGTTTTCTTCCCGCCCCC